ATATCGAGGGGTAACGGGCTATTTGGTTTAAGCGACATTTTTGCAACTTTACAGGAGAGCCTTTTAAAGTTTGAAATTTCGAAAAAAAATTCATAACAAAAACGCTTCTGCAGATATTTGAACGGGGTAAATTGCATTGAAATTTAAATAAAAATATCTAGTTGCTGATGCTAATTCCAAATAAAGCGGACCTTTAATTACAAAGATAAATGTCGCTTAATACAATCTGCCCTTTTTTAGAGTCAGGAAAAATGATTTAAGTGACTTCATAACTACAATTGGCTACAAGGGAAAAAAATTAAGCGACGATGCACTCTATTTACAGAGTAAGCCAAAAAGTATGAAGTAACGAAACCCAAAATAAATAGAAGCAAGCTATTTATCTCAACTACCAATTTAGACTAAAATGAGTAACAGGCTAATTTACTTATGTGACATATAACATTGAAATTGTATCGTTAAATGTTTATGTTTATTTACATCTAAGACGATTAATGGCTGATAAAACAACCTGGATATATCGAAACAACCGAAAATCTCAGGTGCTTACATCGGATAAATAAACACAACACAATATCAAAGTATTTATTTAGATTAATAATAACAGTCTGCATAGGAACAACGATTATATTATTATTTATTCAGCAAAATCAGATAAATTAATGGGTTATTTACTGAAATTGCCGTTTTGTATGAAAAAATTTAAACGATTTTTTTCATGTATTTTTTATTTGTATTTATCGAAGTAATCACCCATGTAATCAATGCATCGTTGCCAACGCAGTGGCAGTTTATTGGGCATCAATAAACTGCCACAAAATACTTCTTAAACAAATCAGCTGGACGGGTGGCAACAAATTCTTTAAATGCATTTTGTACTGCCTCTCGGGTAATGAATTTTTTTCCCGCGAAGAAGTTATTCAAATTCTGGAAAAGAAGTAGTCTGGTGAGTAGGGTGGATATTGGAGAGCTTCCAACCCCAGTTCTTGTAACTTGGAGACCATCTGTTGTGCAGCTTTAGGTCGCGCGTTGTAATGCAGGAGCAATGGAGATGAGCGATTGACCAGTGCTGGTTGGAGATGTGTCAGCTTCTCCATCATTGTGTTCAGTTCTTCACATTACACATCCGCAGTAATGCTCACTCCGTTTGGTAAGAACCTGTGATGAATCAGACTGGCGCTAGACCATCAGTGACCATCACTTTTCTAGGAGTAAGTTTTCGTTTCGGGTATTGTTTAGGTGCTGAACTAACTACTACTACAACTATGTTGAGCAGTGCAAGGCACTGCTCGATGCATACTTAGCTCTGGCGATCATTGAGTTTGTGGGACACCCACTTGTCAAGTTTTTTTACCTTGCCAATTTGACGTAAATGGACCAATATTGTTTTGATGCTAACGTCGAAAGCTGTTGCTAAATCAGCCGTAGATTGTATGTCATCAGCTTCCACAATAGCCTATTGTCACCAAAGTCTTCGGACGACCGCGAGGTTGATCTTGAAATTAAAGTACTTAGGATTCAATTTCGATGAGCGTTTTACGTAAACACTGGCGGTGAGTGCGCGTCCCGTCTGTCTTCGACGCATTCTGGAGTGACTGAAGCGCCAGCGCACGATAGTCCAGTTGGATGATCACGATTTTTAACACCCGGGCGATGAAATAAATATAGTATCATATGACATGATTGAAATGTACCATATTAAAATTTAGTGATTTAAAGACCGATTCATATTTTTATGAATACTGGCAAAATGTTTCAATATCCATTATTAATGTTATCATCTGTATGAAACGACATGCATTTTAAAAACAAGGAGGGCTAAATGATTTATGACTAAACAAAATATCTGAACGAAAACGACTATTTGGTTTAAGTAGCACCCTGCGTGGAAAATAAAAGCAGCTAGAAGTGTTTAAGAGACGAACCATGTCGTATTTGGGTGACGGATAAATGTTTTAAGCGACAACACACCGTGTGATTAGTGGGAAGTCAAAATGATTCAAGTTACTTGCTAGTAAAAATTAGAAACAGGAAAAACGCTTTAACTCATTTTGACTTATTAATTAGAGATAGGGTGACTGGTTTATGTCTCGGTTATTAATATGATGGTATGGTTCAAGTACATAATTTAATAAAAAATGCGAAATCCATGTCGTTTAATACACTGTCACTTTGGAAACAACACGAAAATAGAATTGTTTGAAACGCCAAAAAAGTGCTCCGATTTTAATGAAACCGGCATCAATCGACGGAGAAAAATTCGCTGATTCCGAATATATATATAACTCAATATCGCCCAAAATGTCGCTTAAACCAAATAGCCCGTTACCCCTCGATAATAAGTATAGGGGATTGTGTCTATAATGACGGTACTCGACGAGTAAATTTCTTTATAACAAGTTTGGCAAGTGCTAACTTTGTACAGTTCGTATACCTACTACACGCAATAGAAAATGTTATTCATGAACTTTTAGTAGGTACCTACTTCGAAACAAAATTATGTATGTAGGTATTCTTATATTTTTTGTGTCAATTTGCTCTATGTGGGGCTCATAAAAGTACTAGTTTTTTTTATGTTGTTATATTAGTTTAATTGGTTTAATACTTATCCTTTACTGTTTAGTAAATGCATAAAGTGAGTGGTCGCCAACGCCGCAGGGCTAATGCCGCGCAGACGGGTTTATGGTTAAAAATATAGGGGGGGTCAATAAAACGCGTATATCTGCCTACTCTTTCGGGATATCGTTGTGTATTAGATCCAATGACGAGTAAAAATAAAACTACATACCTTGTAGTTTCCTTTCATATAGGCTTCCCCTATACTTATTATACTCTTTGCATTTGGCTCAAATTGCATTACATACACATACATCGAAAAATGAAAATTTAAGTTACGCGGGCAACTTGGTTTTTCAATGAGTAACCATAGACAATGTACTAGTCTGAAAAAGATAGACCACGCTTCCTAAACTTTGTCCTAAAAATTGTTTTTCTTTTCCAAAAAACAATGTTTGTAATAAATGGCGTATATTAATTTCTATTAATATCTCTATCCTAGACTTAAATATATAACATTGAAGCTGGTTACAACATTCATGGAAAGAGTACTGTACTATATAGCTATGGTAAAGAATTTTTTAATGCTGATAAATTAGTACAAATTACGATGTGATTAATATGTTGATACAATACCTAATACAGTTAAAATAAAAGAAATCGTATATTTTTTTCATTACTGTACCGGCGCACTACTGGCGACCCTGTCAGTCGATCGATTGTCATTTATTTAGCTTGTCTATGGTTTTTTTTCCTGTAGCAATATTTCAAAAGGGAGTGAGTGAAGTGAAGTGAAGTAGGGCAATCCAAAATTCGCCATTTTTGCTTTTAGTGAAGGGAGATTTTTTATTTGTCAGGCTGGAGGACAAGGAATATTCAGTAAAAAGTGTGTCATTAGATTTAATTTCTCGTAGCAAAGACTTTATTTGAACAGAATCTTAGTATAATAGTGTGGTTTTATTTATTACTAACGTTTGTATGTAGTGCTACTTCCCCATCGTAAAATTTGCTCGTTGGTGTGTCGCTTTAGCTAATTCAATGGCTATGATATCGAAGTTTTAATCCATCGTGTCGCTTAGACGTTCTCCTCACGGGATAATATCGAGAAAGCGAGGCGACGCCTTTAGAAATGAGCAGGCCTCAAGGCGGACGCATTCAAGTCCCGGATGACCTTAGAGAGATCTTATTGGAGTTCACCATAAGTTATCTGCTGGAGCAACCGGGCGACGTGATCAACTACGCGGTCGAGTTCTTCACAAGATTACAAAACAACAGGACGACCACCGTAGTGAGGGCCCCCACCGTTACTGCCGGCACCCCTGATGAGTCCATAATATCAGACGAAGAAGGTACTAGTCCTCTCATATTTACTATACACTTACATACTCTATTACCAGTTGACTGCGATCGAAGAGGTGGGTTAGTAGGGCTACGCCAGTAGTTGCTAGGATCCTCAATGTACCCAATTGAATGCAATGTGCCCATGTGTGTAGGTATCCAGCTCACAGTTCATATTGAGTTCCACATTATCAGTACTAAGTATCTTGATTGTTTGATAATATGATATCAATACATTGAGGAATATTGATACAATTTTATGTTATAAATTTTAGCCATGCACTCAAGGAAAACTTTTAATATGGAGCTCATTAATCAATCATTCATAGCAGTTGGAAAATCTCATAGTAATTGTCATGAATAAACAATTCTTAATAATTGGTTTGCCCTGGTACTGTATGTCGTATTACAGTGACCTAATTAAACTTGTGTTGGAAAACATCAATGTTTGGTTGATACACATATGAAAAAATATCCATTCTCATTCAATCACTCCTCTATATTAATTTGTCACCTATTTAGTCCTTCAATAATCATTTACTCATTGAAAGCTTTTGTCCAGTACATACCTTAGGTACCTAGCTTAGTTTTAGCCAATAGTGTTACTAGCATCCTCTTGCAGCACTGTGACAAAATGATTACTGTTGCTAAATTTACCAATTTTTTTATAGACTTGAATAAAAAAAAATATAAATACAATCTTATAGCCAACATCTGTAATGATTCAATTTTTGGCATGCTGCCATTACAGTTTCAATGGTATATCATTTTATTTATGGAAAATATAGTATTTTAACTGTTGCCAAGTGATAAATTACAAGGAAAGACATAATAATGTCCAGTCTTATTGCTATCTTAAATGTTTATCTATAAAATCACATAATATTACTTAACAGTAAACATTCCATATTTGGTAATAAATAAAGCATCATAAGCAGATAGACTATATAAAAGTGATAAAAGATAAGCAAACATTAGAAATATTAAAATCCGTTGAGTGTGAAGTGCTCAGAGAGGAGACTCAGAAGCCCAAATGTACAACAAATGCAGGTTTTTACATGAAAATTGTTTGGAGAGGCATAAATTTACAGTGTTTACTATACGCTGATCCTATTTGTGTGTTTGTTTTTAACGCTTTGAAGTTGTGTGATGATGAGATTGGCTTATTTTTCCATGTCCGCGGCTGAGTTTAACGTCGTGAACTGAAACAGATGTCGGCGATATACACGCGTGTTACGTAAAATGAGCTGAGCCTATGTAATGACAGGTAGCAAAGCATCACAAAAAGTTGTTCAGGTGCTAACCGGACCTTGGCTTATGTTTATTTAGGAGATTTTCTCTTTCATTCTAGTATCATTATTCTGAGCAGTGTATCTGGAAACAACAGAATTATGTTTTTTAGAGCCATTAAACTTGATGAACCTCCATCAAATGTAATGACTTTGAAATATTTTTTTGCTTGGCTCTATGAGTAGCAACCAAAAATTGGATAATTATTTTACACAGCAGAGACTTTATCGTAAACACCTGTTGATTAATTTTATGATGTCATACTCTCTATTATTAGCTACAATATTCAAAAAACTGTTTACCATGGCTCACCGGATTAAACCATGTATTTCCAGTAATTTTGCTCTGGTATCTGAAAAAATTTTTTACAAACTTGTTCAGATAGAAATAACTTATACAATTGAAACTGAAATCAAGTTTGCTAAGAGAGTGGTAAATTTTTCACATTCATTATGACATGGATTGATGGACAATGCAACAATGGTTCACATCCTGAATTATTCAACGGTACACAATATTATCTGTGGTATAGAGAGTGTCATAGAACATTCATTAACTTCAATGCTAAATATGAAAGAAGTGTGTAAAAACATTAATTACTCTATGTACAGTGCAAAGCCATTAACATACTTAATTATAGGTTCATGTAATTACATGGTGTTGTAATTTTAACCAGTATATTAAACACACAAAAACTACAATAAAATCATAAACTTATATAATAGGAAGGTCTACAAGTTAAAACTTTAAATATTCATAAAAGTTTATCAGAATGAGATACAGTGTATGTTTGATTGTGATTTTCTTTGGTGATGTGCTATTTGCTGACGTGTTCTAGCCGCAGCCCCGTGAGTGTCTTGGCGTGTTATTAATAATGCAGTTTGTTACAATGCAGGCACTGCAACACATACTAAACACTTCCACTAACTTCACTTTCTCTGAACGCACCATACTCATTACTCCTACAGGTACACAATTATTTAATCAGGCTCATGTCGCAGTACCATTTCCTTTGCGTGTTACCACAATCGATTGCCCATAAACTGCACGCCAGACGTGCAAAAAATTATAAACTGAGAATGTTGATAAACGTAATAAAATAGGTACAACCATTTGTGGTTTAGCTCTTGAATGGTTTATGTTATTGCGAGTCATATTCAAGTTTTCCGCCATTCTATAACAATGATGAGTATAATTATCGTCAGCCGTTTAGCCTTCGTATCTAGAATGAGTCGCTAAATAATAGCTCACACACATAGTCGTCCATGTCCCTAATTCTGTCTTGGAGATCTTTCAACAACTAGGCTCGTCTTGACTGAACACGGATGCTTAATGCCATAACTGAATTCACCTTCGGGAAGCCAATAATACAATGCAAACCTTTACATGTCTACGAAGTATTGGCTCAAAGTACGTGTTAAGAATTTAGAAGTCGCGTCAATTACGTATAGTGAACCATTTGGGAAGATGCCCGTGATTCGGCAAGCAGCTTGTAAACGATGTTTGTGTTTTAAATACATTACATATGTACCTTCAACTAAACTACACATGTGTCGACCAAATCATCTGTCTTACGAATGTGTTTGCGTCATATAGTTAGTACAAATAATATGTTTCTAAAGTAAACCTCTTTGGTTGAAAATATTTCGGAACAGATGCAGCCAAACCACGTCAGGTCACATCCATATGGATCATTTTGAGGCCTTAAGCACATGTGCAAATGTTAGCCTACATATTTGGTAACACAATGAAGTCCGCACTGTACTTAATATTAATATGCGTACCCGGTACATAGGTTTGTTGCTAGATATTTATAGACAGCATAAAGTTTATGAAGGCAATAATTGCGTGTTTGAACAAGCCCTTGATAGATACTCGATACGTTATTCCAGATAACGATTGAGTGTTTGGTTTGAATTTAAAATTATTAATGGTGTGCATTTGAATTATTTAAACCTAAACGCACAAAACTATGAATGTTTATTTTAATTTTGAAAGAGTAACATAACACTTTGATGCAGTTATCAGTTATAAAAGGTAGTATAAATAAAGAAAGGGTTGTTTTTATATCTAGGAAATGTGTAAAGTTAACGCTTTAGACTTAAAATCATTGTAATGTGTGAACAGAGCCGCCAGTGGCGCGCTTCAACACTCGACGCAAGTCAGTGTTCGCTGAGACTTACGACCCCGAAGAAGATGACTCGGACGAGGGCGCAACGACTGTGTTCCCCAAGTCGGACGCGCAACGCCAGCGTCTCGCCGAGGCAGTGCGCAGCATCCTGCTGTTCCGCTCCCTCGACGCTCAGCAAATGCAACAGGTCAGTACTCAGGACTCACGATACAGGAGATAGATAATCTTAATGTGGCGACGTTTTACAAAACAAAGGTCCATCTTGAATAGCTTTTTTTGTAATGAACGTTGTGGCACCTGGGATTTTCTCCTGCATTGTTTACGAACACAGACATAGACATCACGCGGCAAACGTCAAAATATTTTGTACCTAGTTAGATAACTCATTTGTATAGGAAGTTATCTCGTGCCACATAGCTGGTTGCTCAGCCGCTGTGCTAATTTTGCTATTGTAATGCAATTTTTATAATCAATCCATATAGACATATGACTACTCTGTATTTCACCTGCCGACCGATGACTCAGTGGTCCACTGCAATTATTTATCTATTCTGTCTGCCCCACGGACAATTAGTTGCCAATTTATAATCTGTTCGTCCGCAGGAGATCCCCATAATACATGTCAGTTGTTGAAATTATTTAAAAGAATTCTTTCGTTTTGTTTGAAAAGTTTCTTAACACATAAACTTTAAAATCTGCTTTAACGTTAATTACAACAAAAACAATTTCTAGATTCTTAGATTAATTGTAAGTTATGTAAAACATGATCTTGTTTATAGCAAGCAACTCTTTAATGGTTAATGTAAAAATGTTCTCATTATTCTTAGAGTCGGTAAAAGGTATATAATTTACACAGTAGAAGTATGTAGTGTTTATCAGTGTATGAATATTACATCAGTGGTAACTGCTAAATACTTACATTGTTTGCCATACCTACTGTATTTAACATATTTGAATGGCGGGTCGTGACCACGATCTCATACGTACCGACTGGCAGATGGTAACAGTTCGCTCATCTCAAATAATTTCAATATTCACTGTCACTGCGCTTTGAACTCAGTAACAGCACAAAAAATATGTATCCAAGATTAGCACAAATCGTTAGTTCAGCACACTAGGAAGCTTTTCTCGCGAACACTGTTTGCTTCACTATAAATCTTAAAGAAAAATTTCCACGAGTACACATATTATAAACAGAGTGAGTCTGTCAGCAAGATGACGTGGGTTTGCGTAGGTGCTGGACGCCATGTTCGAGAAACGCACGGAGCCAGGAGAGTACCTGATCAGGCAGGGCGACGACGGAGACAACTTCTATGTCATCGAGAATGGCATGTTCGACGTGCTCGTCACCGGAGATGATCGCATCGAGAAGGTACGTCATCGGCTAAATAAGATCTTAATCCCGTCATTCTATCTAAAAGTAATCGTTGACTGAAAATTCGTTATTATATCGCACAAACAGCTCCTCAATTTGACCCGAAAATACTCTTCAAATATCTCAATCTACCTACTACATATTACCTTTCAGGTCCTAAAAGGTCAGTCTGTAATTGTGTTGCAAACGTCATGTAATGTTACAGCACAGGTTAATGGCCTCGCCTTCCACATTTCCCAATGTCGTCGTCCCACCAACAAACCTCAAAATAAAAGTTCAACATGATACATACTTCGCGGCTAATTACGCGGTATTTGGCACAAAAATTTGGGCCCAAATTATATACAGCTTTCGCGTTTAATGTTTCTTTGGTTATTTGTGAAGAAAAGCTATTTCTGAACACTTCATGCAGTTGTTTTAAATTCAAACATAGTTCGTGTAGGTCGTAGTTATCAAAAACGTCTCAATAGTCGCTTCTGTGTATTGATCCATCGTTTGAACATGGATGTTAATTTGCCATCAATAGAAACTAATCAGAATATCGTTCTGGTCGTGACCACTTCAAAAGTTGCGAACTATTTGTCTGATGACTTCAAACGTAATATGAGATAATGCCAAGTTTTTTGCCACTAAATGAAAATATAATTTGACATTCCTGAAGAAATTCTACTTACGTGAAGATAGCTGGAATTCTTGTAATATCTTTGCTTTGGCATAGTTTTATATAAATAAAGTTGTGCCGGAGTTCTAGACTTGTTGAATACGAGCACCATGGGATCACTAACCTAATGTTTATCACCTGTCCCCAGCGTTGTATGATAACATACATGTGACTAAGCCCATCAATGCGAGGTTGTTACATAAACTTTTTGAAGTTCACTGTCATAGCCTAGTAACTTACAGAGGAGTTAGCGATGAGACGCGAGTTAAAAAAAAGATCCTACTTATCCTATTAGTCTAACATTTCTTACAGTAATTTTGCAAAGAAACTTGTCATCTATAAACCAGCCTAGCAGGCATTTCTTGGCTTGAGACAATAAATTACCTATCTCAACCAGGTGGTGCACACATACGAAGGCAGCGGTTCGTTTGGCGAGCTGGCCCTGATGTACAACATGCCCCGCGCGGCCTCGGTGCGCGCGCAGACTCCGGGCCAGCTGTGGGCCATGGACCGCCATACCTTCCGCCGCATCTTGCTCAAGAGCGCCTTCAAGAAGCGCAAGCTGTACGAAGATCTCCTGGAGAAGGTGCCCATGCTCAAGGCATTGCAGGTAAGTGCATCATTCCTCGGTATACCATTTTTAAAAGGTCGCAAAACATATGGAGCTCTACTTCGAATGGCCATGGGCGGTGTTAATCGCTTACCATCTGGCAATATGTATTCTGCTGAGCTGGATTAGTACTATCGCATAAAAAAGAAAATATTCCTGTAGCTACTAACTTTTCACCTGCTGCTTCACTCTCGTGGAATTTACAAGATACCTTTCGATTAAGTTCCGTTCCCTTAGAAATATCGGGATAAATATGTAGCCTATATTGTGCAAAGCTGCAGCTTTTACCTCTTCGTGCATTTATCGATTTTGTAGGAATGTAACATTATACAAGGTCACGAACTTGAAATTACACATACCTAGTTACGATAAAGTTAGTTCATTAGGTTTATCAGGTTATTTATTTTTATAATTTACTCTACATTGGTAATCACATCGGTTTTCAATCTCTTTTAACTGTTATTACTTACATATGAACATATAAATGTTAAATACGGGTTTATTAACAATACATGATTCTGTTACAATGCAATGCATATTGAACTCTATAAATAAGTTATTTATGCAGAAATTAATAATTTTGGTTCAGAAGGTTTTAAGCATATTGAACTAGATAATATCACATTCATAATAGTGGTAGGATGGCACTTTAACGCTCGAATACTGAAAGGTAAATACAATTTTAAGTTGTACCTATTTAAATTTCGTGCCGTCTCTTTCATTTTATAAACAATTTGTAGTAACATAACTTTGCTCAAGCCGAAGCGCGACTTAAATTTGTTTGAGTATTTGGACATAAGTATATTAAACGTTTCTTGAATACATACCAGTTTTAAAATGTAGGTGCAGTAGGTACACTTGCTATCTTGATTACATAAGTGTGATTGAGTATAAACGATCGTTAGGTCGTCTAAAGTAACCTATATCTAACAAGCAATCTCCGACTGATATCTCGATCGAAATCCTTATCAACACAGTAGCAATTTACCAGAATAAAGTACTAAACATACAAACAATTCAAGAGAATCCATTACTATAATAATTTTGAGGTATCTTTTTCATATTTCATAGACAATCGGACTTTAAACTATAGTTTTTCTCACTACAAAAAAGTTTAACTGCGACTTGCGTGGGAATTTATGGTAACTTTGTTTCTATAGTGGCCATATGTCGTCTATACAGCCAGTCGCATTCGTATCTGACATACATACGCTTTCAAAGTGGACCTCCTTGAGCAATAAGAACTACATTTAAACGTTAATCCGTTTACTAATCTTTCCCACAACGTTATAAAACTTATATTAATGTTAAAATACAATTGTGGACGGTTTTAAATTATTATCACAACTAATATTATAAATGCGAAACTAAGAAGTTTTTTATATTACATCTTCTCTAGTTTTTTTCTACTCGAGTTATATTAATTTGATTGAAATATTGCATACATAAAATGGAAGTACAGAGAACATAGTAACATAGCGTTTATTAGCACGCAGGCACAGCCGCGAGTAACAAGTAGTATTCTCTAATGCTTAATTAAGTATTGTTTTCGCAACAGTGTTAGTAGTGATATTGTAATTTAAATTCAGTAGTGTTATTAAAGTTTTGCTGTGCACTTTTTTATGGAAACTGTTTAGGTAGGTACTAGTAGATAGAAAAACTTGACTTAAAAGAAACTTGTGATTTGAATAATAAATATTTACATCCACTGTAATTAATAAGTTTCGCGCTACGCTTCATGGTAATGAAAAGCAAAAATCTTAATTACATCTTTAAGTATGTTCATTTCGACAAAATATAACTAAATCTTAATACTAATCGTAACACACGTCGCGGAGAACCTAACGGGTAACCGGGGCTCCGGCTCGACGCGCAGGAGAAGGAACGGGGTGGTTTTTAGTCAGTAAGAGTCTGACACTCCCTCCCGCCTCATCCAGGCGGGAGCAGTCATGCGATGATTTTCCCCATTAAAAAAAAAATCGTAGCACACAATAGCATTTTTATATAGACAAAAATAAAGTCGTATCTTATTGAAACTAAAACCCATTACGCACTACACAAAGTTCATTAGAAATATTGAAACGAGAGTGTCACCCCTCTGAGCGTTCACACGCGAGCGGATTGGTTGCCCAGTGTCCCGAAAATATTGCCTGACCACGCTCAACCTCTACTTAGTAATCAATATATGGCCTAGTCTACACCTTCCTCTATACTTTTATGGATTTTTTTTAACAATGCAAGATAATAGGAAGCAAGATTCATAGACCTTTAGTGAAACTGGTCGCAATTAGTGACCTTTGCTAGTATTATTCTGTTTTTTTTTTCGATTATAGACTTAACTTCAATCTGTGCCTTATCTACTTGAGTCTTAAATATAGTTCTGTCACTACAAATTCTTTTTAAAATGACAGAGATGGCACGATATTTCAATACAACTTTATATTGAGTAGCCTCACAGTATTCGGGCGATAATGACATAATTGCAGATACCTCTTATACACATTACTATCTCACTCTTCATTTAGATGTGTAAAAAAGGTAGTAAACGTAAAATTGAAGTAGTCTGATGTCATGACTCAATTGCATGCTTTTCTATAATTGTTTTCCTTTTATTAACATTTTAAACTATTTACAATGTCACTCTCAGACCCGTGTAAGGTCAATGCATAGCTAAGAAAACATGCATTACTAACTCTTTGAAAAACGAACCATAAATCAGTAATAAAGAGAACTAGGTCATTCGAATAATTATTCCTTATACGAGAATTGATTTCCGAAGCCTTGAACACTGTAGGAGGTCCGTACATCGCCATTCCTGTTATCTAAAGGAAAATAACCTATTAGCTATCATTTCAGTACAACAGTTGTATACAAGCTATCTCATAGATCAAGTGGTCACAATTCACAAACGTTATTGCTTAGCAAGGTGTTCGATCGAAAATGCTCTGAATTGACACTGGGGAGTAGCACGGACTCTGGAATGGTGACTGATGCATAACAAAAGGCATTATTCTTTTAAATAGGATTTAATGAGAACGTAACGGGTAACCGGGGCTCCGGCTCGACGTGCAGGACAAGGAACGGGGTGGTTTTTATTCAGTAAGAGTCTGACACTCCCTCCCGCCTCGCCGAGGCGGGAGCATCATTCGATGATTATACCCCTTTAAAAAATAATAATAGTAACACCTGACGAAAAATGGGAGTCACATTTAATACATGCACCTTTGTCTCTGACGATTTTTTTAACCTTGCCCCCACACTAGGATTTGTCCTGTGTCGTGGTGCGTTTACAAACATGGCATACAATTTCACATACACAAGAATGACGGCGTTCTGTAGAAGTTATAGTAACCATTCTCTAACATTGTATTAATTGATCTTATTAGTTCCGATAGTTATACTTTTATTGTCACGGACAAGAATGACGTAATGTTACTATGCTACGGGAGCCAATTAATCGACACTTTTCCTCCTACCGGAACAGAAAGATTATATCAAAGAAAAATAATACTAATCATACACAATACACCCACCCACTTACCTTGTAAGTATTAATTTATATACGTTCTTTCTATGCTTATTAGTGTAATGTATATTGTACTTATTGTATTATTTATATTCTACTATAAAAAATCATAATTATATTCACGACATTTTCTATCCTCTGTTATAACAGTGACTTTATGAGGTTCCGTTTATTCCTAGACCTTATAATAATATAGTGTTCGTTGACCTCAGGATTTCCTTATAATGAACAGACGCAAGGGACTAAAGCCGCAAGCACTAAGCCACTATGCTTAGAAAAACGGATTACCGGCCATGAGAAATAAAACGATACAGCGTTCCAAGGGAAATCTTTTACAACCTTCTACGCCTTACTATTTAGACGGACAAGCAACTTAATTGCTTTTAGATTGTAGCTCAACAAGTTGCAACTACCTAAGTTACCGCACTATATCAACACACAGATATCATAACGATTAACAAGATTACATGCAAGCAAACTAGTTTTATTTCCGCTCCAAAAAAATGTAACGCCATATCGTAGTCAACGATGTCTTACGTAAATATAAATGGGTTTCTCCTAGAATAATTTCGAAGCATATTTAATAGAGTTAATGCAATATACCTTGCGGTGTAGGGGAGGATAACTCGATGCAAATTATACAATTTATGCGTCAACCCACGCCGTAAACAACTTTTTTTGCCTCAGTTTAAAACGTTTTACACATTGTACAAGCAACAATACTTGACTATTTTAAGTTTACTATTTACTATGTTATATAAAAGACATATTTCTAGTCACGATTTATTACCTCGGCCTCAGTGGGATAGTAAATGTTATTTATTGGTACGATATTACCATAACAATACCCTAATGTCGTTATGAAGTATTTTACATGTGTTTTATTATATATTATTATATACGATTAGCTCCGATTTGTGTCAACGTTTCTCTCGGTCCCGCAAGAGTTTTGCATATTTTCTGACCTATATTTCAGAAAGTAGCTCAGTGCCTATATATTGCCTGGATAATCTGAAACTTTCCTGAATAATTTTGCAAACAAATGAAATTTTAATTTTAAAATGTTACTACTACAGATTACATTGTATTGTTGAATCATGTACAGCTATATCCTATAGGTATAGAAATCGCGTCGTCTTTTGTAGATTTACACAGACGGTGACGTCAGACGTTATTGATCTGTATCGTAAAACCATTTTCACAAATATTTTATTAGGTGACGTTTACTACGAGGATTATGATAACGCAAATACCGTTGCCAATTGAAAAGTTTAAGAAGCAATCGAATGATAATGGCCGATAGGAGATATTGTAGTAGCCAGCGTCGCGTGATTCGTGCGTACGTAATGTGATAACACTTATCAGTTAATACTGATTTAAGCTTAGATTAGGCTGTGATAACACGCCCAACGGTCCACAATGCTCTTAAATTTGGACAATTCGAATAAAGTCCCTTGGAATTATACGGAATGCTAGACGAATGTTGTACCAGTTAAAGCCTGGTACTGAAACTAGGTCGGGTTTGAAAATTTTAATAGTGCGTATGTCGCATGTTGCCTGTCGTCTAGGGCACAAAGCTAGCTCATAGAGCTAGTTCGGAATTCTTCGTAAACGTTCTACGATAATACATAAATATAGACAAATTATTTAGCCTGTAATGGTGTGCAACATGCACAAAGTGGTTTAGTTAGGTATAGCAATAAAAACTAGTCAGGTTGCGATTATTTTGGCACCTATCACAATACAAATACCATGTGATTGGAAATTTAGCATTTAGCAGTGAAAGTCTTTAGTTATTTCATCGCCTCGGTAAGTATTATTGAATAAGTTATTCCATGAAGCACAGGGCAATAGGACTTTATTCTCTAACTAAACAAACAAAAACTTTGTATTTATGTTAGTCACGGTATAGTCTCTAAATTCCTCATTATTATCGCCTATTGTGCACGCATCACAGGCCTTTGACACGCTCCTACTGTTTGTGTTTACATATTAAAACTCTTCCGACTCCGTATTTCGAAATCTCAAACTGTTGAATGGAAAATCAATCGGCTACAATTCCGATTTGAGTTTTCCTTGTCGTTAAGGAAGTTTTTGATATTCGCCCTTGATCCGAGATGAAGTTGAAAAGTGTAATTTATAAATATCCTTAACGTACACACAAGTAAAATGCTGTTATGAAGGCTAATTTGATTGAGACTTAGTCGCAATCCAGTTGAGGAAAACTGTTACTTCTATTCAAATCTTGGTTGTGTCTATATTTGATTCTGTCATAAATTTGAGATCCACTTTATAGTATCAATTCAATTTACTGAAAGCATTGTGTACGCTGTTTAATTAGCCGTGTGATGCCCGGTCGTGAATAGTTTACCCGTTTCTTCCTCAACGGCACACTAGTAGCATTAAGTTCAAGTGGATGAGCAGTGGTTAAAATAGATTGCGAACATTTCCGGGGTGATAGCAAATAGTTTGAATACACCGCATAAAGATTTGTAGCAAAAAGATTGTAAAGTGGCAAGGAAGTGAATATCGACAAAAGGGTCAATATGCCCGCAGATAATTAGCTAACAAGCTGTCACTAATGCACGGCTCTGCCCCAAGGAAAGGGGAGGAAGACACACACATACACACCATGCCACAGTGCGGTGTAGGGTTTAAACGTGTCAGAGGGCACCTCTTCACACAGCCAGCCTCTATTCTGCTACAGTGTGATGAAGTGTGAAGCCATCATTATTTCGTTCTGAAACAATGTGTTTTAATAAGCAATTTTAATATAACTTGGTATATCTCTCAAATATTAATATTTCTTAAAACAATAGCTTTGTGAGGCACATTAAATCATGATGTTGACGTAACAATTACAACTATTTTTAAACCGAAATCATTATAAAAATATTTGCTTAGGTTCTTAATTTTTCTCTAGGTTCCAAATTCACACTGCAAATGATAATGTAAGATAAAGTCATGTGTGAAATGTGTGTAAGCACGGTCACGGCCACACAGAATTTTAACAAAAGCATTAGACACGACACGAGCTCTGAGACAAAGCTTTGTGCTGTAATTACTCCCTCGACCTTACTCTGCACCGCACAACAATCGCACAGCTTACAATACATGCTCAGTAGTCTTTAAAATATCCGGAACCTTTTAAGTTTTTCCTCTGTCAAACTCACATTCATGCATCTTTAAATGCGCACTCGGCAGCAAATTCCCCGTACCGTCTTTGTGAAGCAGTTCTCAAATTAGATTTTTCTTACTGACAACATAATTCTCGGTTTACCGGATATTACTCGAGATTGGAACTTTGCTCAGTAAACGTCCATGATTTGGTTCGACCGTATTTTATTTCTAATAGTGTACAGCGTTCATATCCGTTTATCATTTTGCAAACGTAAATCGTATTTGCTTGAAGTAAAAGTAAACATACAAATATTAGTAAATACCTTAGTGTTGTTTGAAAGGCATAAAATAGTCATCCAATTGTTTTTCCAAGTAAATCTAGCAATAAAGTGATAAAGCGCATGCTACCGTTAGTACCGTCAAAGGCGGTTGTCGTTCGTGTGTAGATAATATTGTCTGACGAGCGAGGCGAGAGATAACAACCTCCGGACGTCGATGTTCCTATCGAATTTATTCACCTTCCGGACCGAGCGTGACGTCATCGTTTTTTATCTTAAACTCACACGTCACACTGAAACTGGCGACTACCGACTACGGAATGCGATAAATGTGGGATTTTTATAAATGTAGCCTTTGACGTAGCCATTCTGTTTTTCTTTTGTACAAAGTTGACATTGATAATCTACAAGTAGGTATTGATAATACACGTTGCTTTTTGTTCGTTCTTACTTGAGTCTGTAAAAGTATGAGTATCGTAAGCGAGAATTTAATTGAACATGACGTAGGCAAAGATAGGATACAACTGTATTCTCTTTAACATTCCCAATACAGTCTGTTTCCCAGTACACATAAAAGTCTGTCTACTCTGTCTGTTTTCTTTAAAAACATAAAACGTATACAATTTCTCCTAAATTACAAATAGGTCATACGTCGGCGTCCAACGGAAACTTGCTCGGAAAGATTCCGGATATTATTTATTTACAATCATTTGTCAAATATATGTTCGCAATATATTATTGGATTCAAATAGTCTTGCGACCCACGTTTCTTACATAAATGGAGGGAAATGTTGGACAATATGAATGTGTGTTAGTCAGTTTTTCAAATATGTAAATAGATGAAACTTCAAATACGGTTTCCCTTACAATTTATGGTATAATGATAACTATAACCGATGAAAGAGAAATAGAGTATTTACTTATTTTTATATCAGTTAAATATCTTGACAAAGAAAAATAATGTATTGACTCAAGATTGCAAAATTAAATAGGTCTAAGACCTTAAACTTTGTATTTCCTTTGTCATAAAAATGCTAATAAATAGCTTGTAATGTCTTTGTGCAGGCGTACGAGCGCGCCAACCTCGCGGATGCCCTGCTGCCGCGCACGCTGATCGACGGCGAGCTGATCATCCGCCAGGGAGACACCGCCGACGGCATGTACTTCGTCGAGGACGGCGCCGTTAGCATCCGCATCACCCGCGATGACGGCAACGAGCATGAGATCAAGCGTCTTGGTAAGTTACAATACAATAGGATTAATGACAGGGTATAAACATTTAAATCTATTTTGTTCATCATTTAGATAATGAATATAATATTAGCCACGTATTTTTCTTGTCATATAAAGTATAGCTAGATAAAATAGATTTAAGTTTAAGAGTGGGGAGGGCGCTACGTCACACGTTCCTATTAAATGTAGCAACTCAGGACGCCATAGGATATTTGAAATAAATATGTCGTCGAAGGTATTTAATAAATAAGAAGAGGAAAAAAGTGTGTAATGTTTTGTGTGTAGTGTTTATGAAAGTGTAAGAGAAAACGATAAACAGTGGGATCTCTGGGTTTAAATTGTGCAGTTTACAATTGGTCAGGTCGTGAATAAGCATACTTTATTTAACATTAAAATAAAACTCAAATGGTGTTTATAGGTTTTGTGTGCTATCTCTAGATTACTTACATGTTTGGTTAATCATAAAGTTCAATGACCAATGTCAAATAACAAATTCAAACACTAAAAGCCCTTACCATAGCAATACCCCAACTTTACAAGTTCCTCAATGCGGTTTGAAACCACACACAGATTCTCCAAGCCAATTATGAAAGCAAAATTAACTTGGCCGTGCATGAGAGTAGCCGTGTTTATTGAGTAATAGATGCAGGACAGTGACAGCGGGGCTTGCAACGTCATACAACATCTAACAGGCAGAGTGGTCCAATCAATAACGTATTAGTTTGCCGTACATAGTAAACACTTCGCTCACTCAACCCGAAACTAAATGACGGGAGCGTGATCGATTGTTTCGTATAGCTGGCGTACTAAATTACAATATACATAGTTTTAAAAGTACGGGCACTTTCATAATAGGGTAGATGCCTAATTTTTAGTTGAATGCCCGTCTTGTAGATTATTTGAAATAACTAGACACGTATTTTGTTATTTTCTTACAGAAACGACAACTTTCGACGAAATATTGATTTGAAATGTCGCGTTACGTCACTTTTATGTACATTTTATACGTAGAAATGACGTTTTAGCGCCCACTCCTAAACTTTGATTCGTTTTATCGAAGTATTGTTTTATTATACGACAAAATAAAAAAATACGTGTCTAATATTTTTTCATTACCTAACTGACGGACTAATTAGATTTTTAATTTTCATACCCTGTTATCATTCTAATTATTATAAGACTGAAATCATAAATACACCTTGAGCAAGCGTGGTGTTTAATGATCAAACCTTCTCCGTGTAAGAAGATGCCTTTGCTCAGTAGTAGGCACTTATAGGCAGATAATGATGATGCTGCTACTATACTTCTAGTTTAAAAATCTCTTTCTTTGGTTGAGACTGCCTCATAGGCCGAGTGATCGCAAGTACGACTGCCGGGCAAGGGGTGTGGGGTTCGATTCCCGGGTCGGGCAAAGTATTACAGGGTTTTTAAAATATCCAAGTAGTAGCACGGAGTCTGTAAATGTGCCCGGTATATGGCAATAGGCTCACCCCCTATCACATGGGACTCATAACATAAATAGTGAAGAGTGGGTGTTACATATAAGTGCCGTAATGTGCACCTCTGCCTACCCCTTCGGGGAGCTTTGAATCGTAAAAATATTCTTGTGTTGGAAAATCCATTTATCGAGGAAAGCTATAAATATAACATTACGCTACGAGATTTAGGATAATTGCAAGCGGGTAAATCCACGTCGACTGTCATTGGGTTTAATATTAGTTAAGTACTAAATACAAACAGGCCTTCGATTGTAATTTTCTTTACACACCAATCATTCTAGTAATCAACAAAATCGTATTCCTAGCTTGTATATATGTAGTTAGTTCCCTGGTTTCTTAGGGAGAAATAAAGTAAAATTTTCTAGATTTATGACATCATGCGAATGATATACTTTGTGTATAACTCACATCCCTCCAATAAGATGCGAAAAATAAGTGTGCTATACTTGTTTTTATGTATCTTTGTCTCGTCATTTCTTTAAAATATGCTAACATTTATATACTTTGTCCTACAGAGGCTGGTGGCTACTTCGGAGAGCTGGCTCTGGTCACACACAAGCCGCGCGCTGCTTCTGCTTACGCTGTTGGCCCTACCAGGGTGGCATGTAAGTATTACTTACATATTATCAAAGACAAGTTGTAGTAAAGGTAGCACGTGATGTTAAGATTGCGAAAATAAATATGGTAACAACTTCATCTATATAAATAAAAATGATTATTAATAAAAATGCTTATACTCCTACTAACGATACGTAAATTATATCATGCGGTTACGGTATTATTATTATATAAATACAAATTACAATGAAAAAGAAGACTGTATGATTTCCTTTACTAGAATACATTACCCACAAACACCGATAGAAAGCGAAAACAACCGAAACGATATCCCTTTTTGTACTGACAAGACGGACATTGTGCAGGTGTTTACATCGTGGCCCGTGCCCGTAAACGTTACAATCTCGTAGACAACCGGCCTCGTTTGAATGTCGTCCGCTGACAACGTCGGTGCATTAATCAACATACATTTACTACGGACGTCTTCCTCCCAGTATTGGAGCTTTTGAACTTTAAACCTAAACTCATTTTAAAAAGGTCTAGATTTGATTGGTATGTACCAAAACCTATGTAGGTTTTAGTAGAATTTTTGCAATAGATTTGAATAGCAGTTATTAATATACAAAATACTCTAGCCTTCTGACTCTCCAACGAATAATGAGGGGATTTAGAGAGTTCTAAATTAAAGACCTTATTCGGATACCTAGATTTCTCTTAAGCTGGCAGTAGTGAGAAGGCCTAGGCTTTATTACCTCCTGAAAAGTTAAACAGAAAAGCGAAAAATCAGCCAATCTAGAAGTGATTTGGAAAGATATATGTTCAGCAGTAAACATCATGTGGCCATAACTAATTATATTAATTAATAATTACTACTATAATATTACTTACAGCTATCTTCCATCTTAAAGTCACTTATATCGACACAGTTATCATTATTTTATAATTAATGGCTATCATTTGATAACACGTTTTATCTAAGTTCAAACGAATCAGACACTGTGTACTTTATTAGAAACTAATCTTGATTTTGTAACCTACATATTAATCTAGATTTTGTAATATTACTTATATTAATAAGTACTTTATTAAGCCGCATCTTTGATCTAGTGGTGATATCCAAATGCAAAGAACAAGGTCCTAGTCACGTTTTTGTTCCGTTTATTAAAAAAAAGATGATTTAAAAATTACGTGTAGAAATGGCGCTTTCGATTAGCCACAAACGGCCAAGTCCAAGATGGTAATCAAAATGTATTTTATTTTTATGAAGATAATCGTCAAGATATTTATCAATGATATTTATTTATTACCAAGAACCCTGATTGTTATCGTGTTTTCGGCATAACAAATGTTTCTTCCTGAACGGCGTTTATTATTTTAAAACTCTAGAAAATTTTTATAAATTGAAATGATGTTACCTTACCTTTCCTGTTTGAAATAAAATTATATTTATCATACCTATATAAAGTGCAGGAAAACTTAAAAACAAAATAAACTGAAAACAAAGGCATTACTGATTGCTATTTAAATGACTAGCAGATCTGTAACAGGAAATGTAATACTAATAACATTATATTGAACATTGTAACTAAATTGATTTTTAACTATACGTCTGTCATTTCCAGTCCTTGACGTGGAGACGTTCGAGCGGCTGCTGGGGCCGTGCATGGAGATCATGAAGCGCAACATCGACGACTACGAGGAGCAGCTCGTCAAGCTGTTCGGCGACAAGAGCAACCTCACCGACGTGCGATGAACGACCCGCGCACGCACTCCGCGCCGCCACTTGTTTCCCTTCCACGCACCGTAATCTACTCCTCTATTCGTTCTCATCGCTTCACCGAGGTTATGCTGACTCCCCCCTTCAAACTTTTATCTCTAAACGTATTTTAACATGACAATGATATAATTTTCTTTCAAAACTTTAAAGGAATATTTTTAATTGATTGATTGGTACACAGCATAACCTCATTAAATCAAGTCTGTTTGTGCTCATAAAGCCGACGGCGACGCTTAATAAATAGCTTAAATGTAACATAATTGTGCTTAACCAACTAAAATGTTGTAGCGTACAAGTACCTACACAGGTTTATTTAATAATATCATTTTGAAGTAGTGCCATGTTGTTTATTATATTTGAACGTAATTGTATTAGATAATATATGGATTACGCGTTGAATGGAAGGTGAAACGATGACTACATAACGAGCGCTCAATAATATTGCATTGATACAAAAATACGCTTATTTTAGATAGAGAAATGCCTTAGTAGCTAAGTATATATAAGGATCACACCGAGGAGGTGGCGGCGAGCCGAGCGCGTAGAAAACAAAATGTTGACACCAGCCCTAGTGCCATACGTGGCCGGTACCTACCCACATACATACCGCCGCGCAGACATACAGTCGTTGTTTCAAACTTCTCACACATTCTGAGTGCAATATATTTAAAATATTTGGTTGCGACCGCGACCCAACGAAAGCGTGTCATAAGTTGTTTTGTTTTCTACGGATGTCGTCACCTAACACGAACAAGTCAACATCTGACGATAACAATAAAAGAATTTATGACTCGAGGGTAAAAGGCATTAGTGTTAAACTTTAACATAAATATGTTAACGTAGTGAGTGATTACAATGCAATACTATTCGGCACTCGGCCACGTCTTATCTTGGGATATTCTCAATCGCTATCGCCATTTCTATTAACTTAAGATATTTCCACTGACACAGGCTTTTCTGAATGATAACAAAACTATATACCTAGTAGGTAAATTATATACTTAGTTGTATTTTTTATTTTTGTGATTAGATTAAATCTATCACTGTCTATCTTTATTTATTGTTTAGCTCGGTTAATGGTTTTTCGTCGATATATGTATATGGAGATTTTAATGCAAAGATCAATTTATTATATGCCAAATTATAAATAATAGATTATGTATATGTCGTTACGGAACATCAAGCGAATTTAAAATGTGTCTCAGACACGTTGTTGTATCAGGAAAAGTCTGTAAACATCGGTAGTTCGCGAGCGGGAAATTGCACATCCTAATGCAATACATATACAAACATAAAGATATGTATAATTTTATTTAGTTTGACAGAGTATTTTTATTACGATTGTTTCATAGTAATTTTGTTAAGCAAAAGGAATTGTTTATGTTATCTTTTAGTTAATTTAAATCTTCTTTTCTGTTGTAGAGAGTTCCTATTGTTTTGTTTGCTCTTTAACATTTTTACATTATAATAGATCTGAGGTGTTTATCTTTGTAATACTTTTTATAGCGAACACTAAGCTCCAATGAACAAATAGTAGAAGCCCATCGTTGTTGTTTTAATGTCCCTGTCAGAGATCGGTGTATAAATTGTAACGATTCGATCAGCGGACACACGTTAGGTAGAGGCCTGCCGGCGCACTCGTCTGACCCTCAGGTACAAGTTTCCAGTATTATTTGAATTAGAAACATCCTACCACCTTATTTGTGAATCCAACCAAAGTAGGTGAGTGCGTAAATATCACGTGTAGCGCTAAATATTTAAGTATATATTTACTATGTAGTAGTTAGTTTTCGTCATTTCTTATTGTAATTTAAATATTAGTAGATTAGGAAATTTTAATGGAATATAGTCAAATCCTGAGGGGTGAGGTGTATCGTTTTTGACGCCATGTACAAAAGTGTACAAATTGATTTCAGATGCCATAGATTTTATTTAATTGAATGAATATAATACGTTACTTATTTTATCGTGGAATATAAATGTACTGCTTTCTAATTTCACTGGTTAACTAAGTGCAGACATGTTCTGTGTGGGCACATTCGTACATGTCGGCCTTCGCTTCGCTGCTTGTTGTAACTCCATAGCATTCGTTATCTAACTACTGGTTTGTTTACTTGTTTGGTTCACCTAGCTAATACATTCCCACTTCTGGTTGACATAGTATTTATTTATTTTTGTGGAGAGAATATTATTGTCCGCCCATAGATTTTCTTGAAATTAAATTTTTTACTCAAAGTGCCTACTTCCTACTACATTGACCTGTAAATCATTTCGTATTACACTCTCACTAACAATTATAATATTAATCTCGTGTTTTAACTTAACTGCCTTTTTCTATGTGAAATTGTGAAATGTGTTGTGAGATATGTGTATTTAGTGCATCAGATGTTAAACAGTCATTCAGTACACCGACTTAACATTGAGACCAGTCTGCTACGAGGACTGCGATATCACGAACATTAAAATATTTGACGTTCACAGCGCATCAGTAACTTGTGCAGCTTGAAAATGACGAACGATAAATATTTTGACTTGCAAAACAAACCTAGTTTTTTCAAATAACTATACTGATTCCACTGTTTATCCTTGAGCACTGGTTAATTTGATGAGTGTGATGTTCGGTTGGTTTCCTATATCGATATCGTGTACATGGTTGGTATTGCTGTGTATAACGTTGTGTTTGTTACATTGTACAGGTGAGGTGCGTCACGTGTCGTCACCACATAATATGTCTGTGTGTCCCCGTATAATGAACCCAGTAGTTTATATTATCGTGCAATAATAACTAATAACTGTCATTTATCTATGTCGTTTACATCAATATCATGTGTTAAATTTTGTCTGTGTGAAATTTATTTATATAGAATTTAATAAAATAGAATAAGATACATGTATCGCTCTTAATACTGATGTTTAAGAATATTCACAATCGATTCAGTAGGAAACGCTAATCAAATTACACTTGTATATTCAGTTTTTTATTGAAAAATAATCGTCACGCAAGTTTAACGTTACATAGAAGCACAAATGTGTAGAATGCGTGATTCGATGGGAGGTTTTCATTCTGTTGTCTTCCATGGGACGCACAGAGCCGTAACTCAAAGATCCCAACGCATCATTTGGAGCGCTATTATATGCATTCTCTGCCATTACTGATGTAAAATTAAAATTCAATACGCTTAACCGTAGCGTAATTTTTTATAAATTATACTAGTCATTGGTGTCTAATGTAGATTTGTAACCCGACAGCACGTTGAAATGGAACATACTCCATGTCTCACTCACTGTAGCTGTAAGTCGTCATACCTGTTCCATACAAAGTGAAAGCATATCAGCGTCCTATTCTATGCACCACATGTGTACATCCGGTAGCCAGTTGAGAACTAGTACCGCTTTTCCCACGTCATGAGCTTACCCTGTACATTTATAAAAATTATGTATCGTAAAATGTTAGAAAACTGAATTATATTTGTTTGTAGATCTAAGTGTTGTTTATTTTCTATCCGAACCCCTTTCATTGCACATATCTCTTGGGTGGATACATTTTTTGCATTGAGTAAGATCTTAGGTGTAGCTACATTTTGTAGTTACCTACACAGTGATTCCTGAAGACGATAATGCCTTTCTCGTTTCTTTAGCAACATCTAGTCTAATCAATCTCTAAAGCTAAGGCACCTAAATAGCATCTGAGGCCTTAGTACGAGTTTGTTTTACGTTTAAAGTATTCAAAACGAGTACGCGTTCGGCACTCTGATTGGCCGGCGACAATATCAAGGTGTCGTCAAAAACTTGTAGTTGGTCCTAAAGTGACTGACGGCAATAATTGATATCTAAGCTAATTTTTATGTCAAGTATCTTCTATATAAATAAAAATGAGATTCCGTTCGTTAGTCTCGCTCAAACTCTTGAACGGGTGAAACGATTTAGCAAATATTGGTCTAGAAATGTTCGTGAAAGTTCAGTGTGCGTTACGCAGGCCAGATGTTATCGAAAATGGTCATTTGAATCTTATAGATAATTAGTATTTCACAAAAACATTTCCTGGTGGGGTAACGTTACCCCAGCCAGACCTTTTTCTTTCTAACGGGAATATTTAATTAATTACTAATTATCTGTAAGATTCAAATGACCATTTTCGACAACATCTGGCCTGCGTAACGCACACGAAAGTCCAGAGAAGGTTTAAAATGCGAGAAAAACAATTTAGGCGGTTCGAAGTTTGCCAGGACAGGTAGTCTACAATGAAAACCTGGTGATACTGTATGCTACATGCTCACTTGGGGAACATGTAACTCCAGCGTTCTTAATTACATCATGAATGGAATTTGGAATTAGTTCGAAATAAAATTACACCATGTTTAATAAATATCATTTATTCATTTTTTTTTATAAATTATGGACCAATTTTTCTATGTAAGATACACACACTTGCACAAGTAATTGTACTTGGTAGGTACTTTAAATATCAAAAATACAAATAGAAAATTAGAAACATGAATACTTTAAAACAACACTTATTTATATTATTAACAATATTTATAAACTAACAATATTTATAAACTAAATCAACAAGTTCCCCCTTTCGTATTCCTGTCATAGCAGGTAAGTGGGGTATTTCTTTGTATCTCAAAATGTCTTTCAATTGAGCAACTGTATAATTTTCAATTGCATTATTCTCAAGCCTTTCTTTCAGTAACTCTTCATCAACACTTGCAGAAAGCTTTGCCTTTTTGCTTTCTGGCCCACCACTAGATGATGCTGGATTTTTGAGAGGTCTGGAGGTGATTGCAAAAGGACCAAACACTTCATAAAATAAATCATCCTGGAGTCCTTCAAACCTCTTTGCATCTGGTTTTGTTGTATCAATAAAGGGCTCCACATCGTCATCTTCCAAAGCAATTGCTTCTATGGCATTATAAAGTGATTGCCTTTTAGGATTTTGGAACATATCTGGTTTATAATCAAACTTTAATTGGTTCAAAATATCTGTCATGATACCTTTATCTGTTTTTGATATTTTTTCATCGTCATCATCATCATCTTCAATAATTGGTATATTTCGTACATTTTCCACAAATGGTATACGAATGACATCAAATCCTAAATCCACATTTAGGCCACAAGGTCTTGAAGTGGGAGATAAAGCTACAATAATAGGTCTGGCATTAACTCTAGTGCATAACACGCATATTGCTACTTTATTCATTTCTGTGCAAGCCTGGTGTAGGGCTTTAAATGCAACAACAGAACCTTCTATTATACTTTCACTGGGAAACAGAAAGTAATTTGATTTCAAGTACCATTTTTCTTTACGCATAACACTGTTAGGTTTGAATCCAAGAAGTTTCAATGTGGGTGGTCCAAATGGGTTTCCAAGCATTTTTTTTTCTTCAGCAGTAAATTCAATTTTTTCATCACCATACTGAAGACTATAAAGCAATTCTGACTGAAGTAATGGTACTGGTCTTGATTCAGTTTTATCTTGTTCATCAACATCCATCTCTTCTTCATTATTTCCAACTTTGCTTTTCAATGTTTTATTCACACTTGTAAGTACAGCATTGGTATCACTGTCTAAATCAGATTTTTTCATTTGTGTATCTCCATAGCTCTTCAACAAATTATATACTCCCACTCCAATAGCAAAATCTTTTCCAATTTCAAAACTTAGTCGAGCAACAGCTAAATTGCGATGCGACTCCACATACATCAACTGTTCTACTTCTGTGTGATTTGAAATGGGTTTGGGTATAATCACTTCATCTTCTTTGGTTGCTTGTATTAAAAAGTTAGTATAATAAGGATCTACCTCATAATCAGACTCGGAAATGTTGATAAGATTGATTTGTATATTTGAATCCACCAAGTCAGCAACTCGTTTAAGTGAAGGTTTAACATCTGTTGGTACTGGAGGTATATCAAGCCGAGACAGCATTATAACAGTGCGAGTCGAAAGCTGTTTTTTACAATTTGCAAATGCTTTGTTACAGTACCAAAGAACATCCGATAGTGTCATTTCTTTGGCTTCTTTTAATGAAGAAATATCAATTTTTCGGAGTTTGTTATATGCATCTACACTTGGTGATGATAGTGGAAATATCTCTTCGACAGTTTGAATGCTTAGGACTGAAGTGTTGGACCCTTCAGTGCCATAGACGCAAACACCGATAAGTTGAGAACTTGCTCTCCTCAAGTACTGACGCATCATTCTACAAGTAGCTGTGTGTGCCACCTGCGCTGAATACGCTTTACAAGGTCCGTAAATATTGATACATATCAAAGTAGCAGGAATACCTTTCCATGATGAGATTTGTTCAGTTTCTTCGTCCGAACTCATCTTGATGAAATTATTCACACAATGGTTGGGTTAATTGTTAATGTAACACTTATAATTTGTTTTAATCAAAATGCTTTACTTTTTATATCTTGTAGTTATGCAAGTCTATGCAAGTTCAACTGGATAACACCAACATGTATCAACAAGTTTCAAATTCGAATTGTTGAGTTGTTGACAGAAATGACAGAATCTAATGTTTTGACATTTCTTGACAATAACAGCATTGACGTTTGATATAAAAACACGATTTGATTTGATTTAGGAAACACAATAGTTGAACGGAGTAAATCGTGTTTTAATAATTATATTTAAAAAACACGATTATATTATATTTAAAGATAATTATACTTTCTTGCGTTAAATTTAATTTCAGTTTAAAGTTAAAATATATTTATTTTACAAACTTTTATTGTATTGGTATTATTGTAATTAATAATTCATTATAAATGTTTATTCTTTTTATAACTGACAAAAACTGCTACAATCAGTTGCATTGTATTGCTGTCCTTGTCTGTCTAGATAAATTATGGTGACTTCACATTGAAATAAAAAAAAAATTATTTAGTAACTTTATTACAGAATATCAAGAATGAACACTGCACACAAATAGTGGGAATGCTTATAATATGTAGTTTAGGGACACCCACACAATAATATGAACTCTATATAGGTTCGGGCTCTCTGCTATACACCTGCATTATTTTCTCCATTATCTCCCAATTTTTCTCCTTTTGCAAATCTTTGGTAAACACCTGAAAAATAAAATATATTAAGTAGGTATAGGTATAGTTGTTAATTTTGGGCAATAAGTTTAAGTATGTGGAAATGAAAAATTTTATTTACCAACAAGATCTTTCGGCAATGGCCATATTAATTAAATTACCCACTACTTAACATTATTTTAAGCAAAACTTGAGTTTATAAGACTTGTCTGTCATGAAGCACTTACTTACTACACTTACTTACCGAATACCATGCAGCATCATCATCTAATGTGGAGGCCAATGGTACCGACACTCCCAAAACATGGAGTGCCAGAGTCAAGGAAGCTACTGCTACATGAGGAGCTCTGTACTCTAGAATAGATGGGGAATGGTGGAAGTCTTGCAAGAACGCCATAGCAGTGCGAGCAATGGGGACAGAGCGCCACTGTGACGGTGGGAACCATTCCTGCAGCGTGCGCAAGTAGTGAAGGAGGTATCTGTGAGGAGATGGTGCGTCCAAGTTGAAGCCGAGTAGTCGCAGCACTAACAACTCTGCCTGAGCAACAGCTCCCCGCCACGACCAGTACTCATCGCCCAATTCCAAAGGCCCCGCACCACGGTTGATAGAATTATGTGCAACGTTCACTGCATCTCTCAGTCTCACAGGTTCATCTCGTGACTTCCCCGCCGCACACAAACAAGCAGTACAAATCACGTAGCAATCATAATCATTTTTATCAGCTTCCTTAAAGAATTTATGATAAAATATAGCAGCTGTAGCTACAGTCGCCGGTTGTAATCCAAGTTTTATGCCACACTCAAATATGAAATTTGTTGCTAAACTATGACTTGGAGCACTACGGTAATCAGGTAATCGTCTTTCTCGTCTACTACTCTGTAATGCCATCACATCTATTACGTCCTTCATAGTGTTCAAAAGTTAATTATTGGTCTGAAAATATTTCTTGTTTGTTTTTTCGTAGCTAACAACAAATTACAATTTAAGGTTAACCATAGACAAATCAGACATTACTATTTTTGTCATATTTGGTTATGTCAACCTTTTAGTATGCATAGACAATCCAACTGTGAGAGGTCAAAATGCCAATAAAAACCGTAGACAGCTGCAAAGAGTATAATATTTTATAGGGGTTAGACAGCTGTCTACGATAAAAACACTATTTTTTATATTAATATAATATTAATAATAACTTTTTTCTTTGATGCCTTATGATTTATTTTTATTATTATTATTTTTTTAAGGTGTTAATATTTTAGTTTTAAAATTATTTATTTTTATATTTTAAGTTGTATATATTAATTTTTATCTTATACTAGCTTCTGCCCGCAACTTCGTACGCGTAATCCCATTTTTTCCCGTCCCCGTTCGTGATTTGCGGTAAAACAGTAGTATTGGTTAAAAAGTATCCTATGTCGGTCTCCTGGCTCTAAGCTACCTCCATACCAATTTTCAGCCAAATCTATTCTGCGGTTCTTGAGTTATAAGTGGTGTAACTAACACGCCTTTCTTTTATATATATAGATATTGAATAATAAAAATCGCAAGGAGTTAGGAAGGATTGGTCCTAGAGTTACGACGTCTAGATATTGCTAGATTTTCAAAAATACTAGGGATTTTTAGACGTCGTAACTCTAAACAAATTTTCGAATTTCCCTTAATATTATTACACCATGTTTCGACGTTCCTTAGAGACTGGTCAAGTGCTTAGTGCCGGTTGCAGGGAGGCTTGCCAACGTGCAGCCTGTGCCCAAAAAAGGTAGTCGTGCCGACCCTAACAATTACCGCCCTATTTCGGTCACGTGCTTACTCTGCAAGACTATGGAACGTGTACTTAACAACAGACTCCTGGCATACATTGAAGGTAACGATCTCCTCAGCGATCGGCAATACGGGTTTCGACGTAACCGATCGACTAGAGTCCTTCTTGCGTACGTATGCCACTCACATCTAGAGCGAGGACATCGAGAGCACGTGGAGGCATTGAGTCTCCCTTGATATCTAGAAGGCCTTTGACAGGGTATGGCACGACAGTCTTATCGGCAAGCTTCCTGCATATGGACTTCCTGCTGATCTGTGCAGATGGATAGCAGACTTCCTGAGAGATCGGTCAATACGACACATACGAGTAGTCATCGATGGCTGCTCGTCTGACCAATTCGGTATTAATACCGGCGTCCCTCAGGGATCAGTACTTTCAGCGATGCTCTTTTTGCTGCACATAAACGATCTGCTTAAGCCCGGTATGCAGATGACAGCACAGTTGTTTATATGTCCGATGCACGGACTAGCGGAAGACAGATCCGGTCTCTAATAGAATCCATGGTCAAGCGTTAGAACTCGTCCTTGAAGGCGGTCTCCGACTAGGGTGACGCCAACTTGGTCAAGTTCAACGCTAGCAAAACCCAGGCGTGTCTATTCTCTGCCAAACAGAGTCAATTTCCGCTGACTCCGGAATGTAGCCGTTCCGATTACTGATCATCTTGAGCTTCTTGGCGTAATTCTGACGCCCACACTCAACTTTGGCTCCTATATAGAGTCAAAAGCGCAACGGGCTGGTAGAACGCTGGATATCCTATAGAGGGTGAGACGGTACTTCACGCCGAAGCAATTGCTGAGCCTGTACCAGGCGCAGGTTCGGTCTTGTATGGAGTACTGCTCTCATCTTTGGGACGGCTCGGCCAAATATCAGCTGGACGCGCTAGAGCCCTTCGAGAGGCGTGCCAAGAGGCTCATCAACGATGCGCTTGTAGAGGCCCGGCTTCAAAGCCTCGAACATAGGCGTAAGATTGCAAGCCTTTCAATCTTCTACTGGATACATTTCGGAGAGTGTGCGGGGGAATTGCACAACTTGATTCCCCCTAGTCCTTTCCATTATCGTACCACAAGACAATCGGCGAAGCGTCACCTATTCATGGTAGATGTCCCACCCACACGCACGAAGCGCTTCGCATCAAGCTTCCTTGTGCGTACTGCTAAGGAGTGGAAAACTTTGCCAGAATCTGTATTTCCTGAAGGGTATAACCTGAGTGTCTCAAGGCCCGAGTGAATAGGTTGCTTATGGGTCGAGGTGCTCCATCGTAGGCCACATCATCGCTTACCACCAGGCGAGATAGTGGTCAAACTTCAGTCCCATTTAATATAAAAAAACCCAAGTCCTCGTTTATCATTATCTAATTGAGGGCCAGAATGAGAATACCCTTGGCCTGCAATGAGTCCATTTACAAAATACCAAACAGATTTCTACGATTCAAGTATTTTTACAGGATATAGGATATTAATTTAGGACTAGTCTTGTCCTTCTAGCACAGCCGTATTATATTTCAGGCAAGTGTCTAGGGGCACCGGGTTACACAGGGGCGGCGTAACGAGATGCGCGTGCCCAACTGCTTATAGAGTGACGGCGGCGTCAAAAACCATGGGATGCCTATGAGGTGCTTACTTTTTACTTTGCGCTGTCTATGTTTAATCCGCCTCTACCCTCTGGTATAATGTTGCGGAGAACCTAACGGGTAACCGGGGCTCCGACTCGACGTGCAGGAGAAGGAACGGGGTGGTTTTTAGTCAGTAAGAGTCTGACACTCCCTCCCGCCTCACCCAGGCGGGAGCAGTCATTCGATGATTTTCCCCACTTAAAAAAAAAACCCTCTGGTATAATAATATTTTATTATTTATCCCTTTCGTTTTTGTTGGTATTGGTACAGTGGGTTGGTCACGAAGATCCCAGCAAAGGGTACTTCTGTCTACCTCTTCACAGTATCAAGACGGTGATAGTGAGGTTTACAAGGTCTGCAACTCTGTATGCATTGATTAATTAATGTACTGTAGTGAAGGATTCTTTGAATATTAGCACAGATTTCGTGACAGGCAGGGGCGGATGGTGCCCTTTGTGTGGCCCTGGGCACCAGGAATTTTTACTAGTAGGTAATTGTAAAATTGTAAAAAGGTAGGTAGTAGGTACTTAATTACTAATGAGCCTTTCTGCATTTTCGCTTCGATGTCTGTTACCGGTGTCCGATGTTGATACGCACACTGCCAACTGCTTAAACCTGGATCTGATCACAACTGATCCAGACCGTTACTACTTGGTACCGGTACGCCTACTCGGTGACAGTCTTTTTCAGCTCAAGGTTGGTCTGACTGTTCTATTCCCGACCTTGAGGTGACGAAATTCTAATATAGGTCGTTCCAATACATATGTAAATTTTTCCAACTTGTATTGGTTGCAAACAAGGAATGCGTGCTATGGGGAATAAATAAAACGAACATTTTATTTGAACATAAAAATTAGAATATAATCATTTTCAGTAATTATTTAAAATTATACACTTAAAGTACATTTATAGTAAATTCAATAAAAAATACCAGTGCAGACGAGATACAAATAAGAGAAAATATTGTTTATTACATCGTTGGTTAAATACATCGCTTTCAGTAAATGCAATACAAAACATAAGTCGGAAAACAATGAAATTATACTTGAATGTCACTCGATATAGAAAAATAAAGATAAGATTGAATCACATTCAAAAATTACCCACTAGTGACTAAAAATTTTACTTTCTTAAACGTTTGTTCATTAATCGGGATCGCTCGGCGCCGTGCGGGCACAGCGGCGGAGCCGGGCTGCGCCCTAGCGAGCCGAGCAGCCGAGTACTACTCGCGCGCCGCGCGCCGAGCGATCCCTCGCACGCGCTAGAAATAAATGTTTACATGTTCATCAATTCTAAATAAGATATTCAACATTGTACTCTGCTCAGTACATAGAGCACGACAGTACACGCGCCGGGCCGCCGCCGGCGTGCTGCGCCGCGCCTCCGCCCCAACCGCGAGTCCCATACTATTTAGTTATCGAAGAACATACAGTAGGTATAAATAGTGAGGTTAGTATTAACTTTGGCAAATATGAATGAAGCATGGTGAATTGTTTTAGATGGACAACATCTCGACAATACTCAGCGTTAATATTAAAAATTATACTGAACGTCGCTCATTTCGCTAATACCAACAGTAGGATGTTGATACAGGTAGTCTTCGAATTATCTCATGCCACATCACAATTAGAATAAGACGTATGCCTCAAATCCGATCACTAAACGCTACTCTCTTAAAAAAACTTTGCAATAACTTCCCCAGTTGTGGATCTAATAAAGCGCGAGAATATTTGAGCCGCAACAATTCAGTCTTCAAATAAGAAGCCAACGCACATCCACGTCCGAGCGCGCTCGCGTCTGTACGTCTGTACTCGAGTACTTGTGCGCACTGTTTGTGTTCAGACAAACATGTTACATGTGGCTTGTGCGATTCGTTCACTGTCTCAAATCTTATAAACTAAATGTGATTCGAGCGAATAAACAATGCGGCAGTGTACAAAATTTACATCACATTCACTCGAAATATAAGCATACAAGTTAAATGTTCTGCGGCGGAGGAACACATTCAAATGCAAACTGTCGAGAGCTGGCGAGTGGCGAGTGGCGAGGGGTGCAGGCGGCCCGTCTGTCGCCAAGTCACCACTATGGCACTACTCGGCCGCCTCGCTACCTCGCGCGCCGAGACCCAGCCGTGTATGGGGCCTTCGTATGAAGACATCGAATGATTATATCCACATCGTTCACTCATTAAAAAAACTTTTTAAATGTAACGTGAAGCTTACTTAAATGTAGGTTGAATGTAGAACTGCGCTAATATTATTTTTATTAGTTTACGTACACATATTGTTACATAACAGTAAAAAACCTACCTAGCAACAAGCGAGCGGCGGACGCTCGAGCCGCGGGCCACTACCATTCGTTCACGATCCGGAGATCAAGAGCAATTTCTTTATCTAACAAACTATTTATCAATTGTAAAACAAGGGTTGCGAGCTTTATTTTAGAATCACGTCGTCACGTCGTCACTAGCAGAATCAGTTTAGATACCGGGTGAGTGAGTAGTGGCAGGAACAGTGAACATTAACAATATCTTTGGTCTTCAGCTCGCAGCAGGTGGCCGTGGTGAATGGCCCGCGCGGTCACAGTGTAGGCGTACATTTTCATTTAATCACTTTTTACATACTCATAAACGTAAAATGAAAATAAATCACCTAACTATGACAATAGTAAAGGTTACTGTCTAATTGCATTATTAATTAATGTTTATTGATACAGTTACTGTCCTAATGCTTAAAAGTAAGATTTTTATTTTATTATTAATAATAAATTATGTTATATAGTATATATAGTGTTTGATTACGCCAATTCGCGAGTGTATACAAAGTTTATATACTCACATATCTTACACGAACAGAGTCGGGACACTAGGGGCCGAGGGAGTGGCACAGTGGCGATATATGTGCCCACCCCGGGCCTCGGCCCACCTCAACGTACCACTAGCTGTAAATACACGTACATAACTGCTTAGGTATTATATAAATGACACGCCGCGCTAACTTCCTTACCATTACAGACTCCAGCCACTTCACAAAATAATGACGAAGATTAACATGATCATAAACATTGGTTAATTACCTTTTAATATAAAATTAAACATGACAAGTTTACATATACCACGTTTAATACAAGTACTCTAGATAAAATAAATACCTAACATGATTTCAATAATTGAATACAAGAATAGATCTTAAATGGCTACACCTTAAGGATTACTGTAAAATGATATAGAAAAATATGAACACAAAACAAATCAGAATTGTATATGTATATGGCGTAACAAATGAATGCTCTTACTGGAATAAATAATTTGTGCGTAATACGATGCTAACTTAACATAATAACATTGGATGACAGGACTTAGCTTACACTATGCTCGTAGGTACGTAACATAAACGACGTCGTCTTATTCCATAGAGCGGTACAGTTGTGCATTCAAAAGTTTATAAAAAATAATTTCTCATTATAAGTGATATAATACTTAATAATGGAATGATGTTTTGTAATCAGTTTAAGTAGGCCTGTGAACGTATTCATGCATCTCACTACCGTGTTTTATTCAATACTAAATATTGGTTCCTTTCTGTGTTTGGTCCGTAAGAGAGTGAGTATATAAGCACATATGTTACCGGGGCTCCGGACTGCCGACAGGCGCCGCTAGACCGACCACGTCCGAGTGCCAACGAAACACTATACCGAATGCCTAGCACCAAAATTTAGAATTGAACACTAGATCACTAATTCACATTAATCGAAAACGACCCCGACGCGAGCGCCGGGACAATAACCAAACTACGGTTTTATATTACAGGGGGAAACGAAACGCTACCTGATAGTCGGATCTAGTCGCACACTGTCGGTGGGAGCTGTCGAAATCATACACAATGCCCCAAGCCATGTGACACATGATATCTGCACATCGGCGGTATATCCAGTAAGCTTACTTTCCATAAAAATATATAGGTAATTATAATACGCGTAGCTGCGGCGTGAGCGAGCCGCGACGCGGCCGCGGGAACGTGCGCGCGGAGTGCAGCGCCCCGCCTCTAGTACAGGCCGCAGCCGCGCAGGTTGTTGGCGATGATCACGTCGGTCACGGCGTCGAACACGAACTGGATGTTGTTGGTGTCGGTGGCGCACGTCATGTGGCAGTAGATCTCCTTCGTGGTAGACTTGTTCTTTGCCTCGAACTGGGCTTGAATGTACGCCGCTGCCTCGCCATATTCTTGCGCACCTGATGATCAAAACAAAACAATGAAGCATATCAATATCCACTTTAATGTTTTAACATATTATCTCTGAATAAGTGAAACAATAGAGGTCAACTTACCCGTGTACTCGGGAAAGCATATAGTGAGCGGCGACTTGCGTATTTTCTCCTCGAACAGATCCTTCTTGTTGAGGAACAGGATGATGCTGGTGTCGGTGAACCACTTGTTGTTGCAGATAGAATCGAACAGCTTTAGACTCTCTTGCATACGGTTCTGAAAAGCAATAATAAATATGTGTTACTTCAAAGCTACAAAAAGAAAAGGGAACAAAATAAACACAGGGTTGTTGATTCAAAAATGGAACAACTGAGGTCAGGAAAATGGCGAGCCAGCGTGTGACTTCACAATGGGCTTTTGTCGACATGAACTTATAAGCAATTTGGTAAAATTATTCTTCAATAAGCATAAACTATAGTAACCTTAACAAACCCATTGACAAAAGAACATTTCATGGTGAAATAGATTTTTGCTAATGTTGATAAGAAACAACAACATCAAACCATCAAATTCCCGTAGACTCTAGACAGAGGTAAATGTGACAGCCAATAACTTGAGAAGAAATACTTAGAAAATGAGCATGTCACAGCTATTCATCAGCAGCCTATAAATCCATTGCTGAGCAAAGCCTCTTCTCACACGGAGAAGGTTTAAGCATTAATCACCACACTTGCTCATGCTAGTCACAGTTATTATTTGATTAAAAATGATAAATAAAAAATAATATTTACCGTTGTCTCATCCTCGTGCAACACCTGGTCGTACTCGGACATGGCGACGCAGAATATGATCGCGGTCACATCCTCGAAGCAGTGGATCCATTTCTTTCTCTCAGACCGCTGGCCACCCACGTCGAACAATCTGGAAGGAAATTATACGAATGCGTTAATTTTTTCTTTTGTACATACATATTACATCAGGTCACACAAGTCAAATAGAGTTGCACATGGTATTGCAACTTTTTGTGAGTTCTCGATTTCCATTAGTAGCCGAATCTAACCAGTCAATATTATTTTTTATAGACTAAAAAATAAAAAGCTGTTTAAGTTTTATCTGTTTTAATTGTAATGTAAAATTTTCAATCATCAATAAACCTAGAATATTATTTCACATCATGAACTTTCACAATGAAGCAAGTGTTAGTTTTGCATATCATCCACACTCCACTGTGTATTAACTCATTACCCAAGTGTTACATCCTACTAATATTAAAAAGGTGAAGTGTGTTTGGATGTTTGTCATTGTTTGTCAGAAATATTAAAAAATAAGGGGTACTTTAAGTCCTGTTATGATACAGGTGAAGCCACTGACAAAAGTTACGTCATTGATATGTTGAATATAATGGCTTGATTAAAATGATTGAATACTCACTTGAAATTAAGGTTTTTGAAGGAGAAGTGCACTTCGACGATGCCAGTGGTTTTGACTCTAGTCCTTAAAATATCTTGTTCGGTGGGCTGGTAATCTCTCGCACCTAACCGGTCCAAGTCGTCCAGGAAACTGGAATAGACATAACACACCTGTTAGAAAGTCACAATAATCATAAAAAAAGAACCTCCAATATCTCATAAATCTTAATAGAAAATGATTTACATTCATAAATTCTTATTTTAGTATCAAAACATCGACCGACAATTTCTATTTTGGACCAACATTCGTAAAGGATCAATAAATCAGGCGAGACCGCGTCCACAAGCTAGTTTCGTGGATAGTTTAGTATTATGATATGAATATTCATAATTCAGTTAGCGACGTAACATACGATTGCTTGAACACAATCAGACTACAACGTGTTAAAAACTTTTTTATATCGATTTGGCGTAAAAAGGCATTAAACGCTGTATAAAAGTAATCGATTACGCTTCACATATTTCGTTATAATCATGCGTATCGAGTTTGTCGTGTAATCGATTATGGTACCCTGCAATCAGAAGGCTCGAAATATAACAGTTTATTTACAAACAATCAAATCGCTCGGGTATTTGAACAACTTGGGGTGGATATAATTACGTCCGCGTTAAGTTTTTTTCCAAATATTACAAAGCTTTGTTAGAACGGTAATTTTGTATGTGATTTCACAGTTGATTTTGTTTTAATTGAGTGGTTTTAGTTTTATTTCAGTATGTAAATCGTTGTTAATTATTGGCCGAGTATTTAATACTCTATGAACTCGTCCAGCTTTTGAAGTTCATTATAATAAGCATAGAAATTACAAGTATATATTGGGTACTTCAATTTACTCTTTTTTTTTTAAGGGGGGAAAATCATTGAATGACTGCTCCCGCCTGGGTGAGGCGGGAGGGGGAGTGTCAGACTCTTACTGACTAAAAACCACCCCGTTCCTTCTCCTGCACGTCGAGCCGGAGCCCCGGTTACCCGTTAGGTTCTCCGCGACTCCGAATCGGCATCGGCCCTATTGGGCCCCATCTGTGGTGGTCTGATGGCTCTTTGAGGCGCGCGCGGAACGCGACGCGCCGTACGCTCGGGTACTTCAATTTACCCTATGTTTATAATGTAATCAAGTTTGTAATAACATTAACTCAGCCACCCATACATAACTTCATCACAAAGCATTATTTTTCAAGAATGTTATATAATGTCGTTCTTTATACCCAACTAAATGTTCAAGTGATAATTTGTTAAAAAAATATACCCAAACACATCTTCCATTACTATAATTAATATTTGTAAGTAATAAATTATAATAATATTTGTAGGTAACGTGGTACTCGTCACGCATTCTGCCTTGTGTCATCCGTCCACCTCCCTTTGTGCAGTATACAATCAAATATTTGTATACTCATTTGGCAAGTATTAAAAAATTCATTGTTACTCCTTACGTACGTACCGCAGCACAATTAGAATTCATTTCAATATATGAACATGCTTTTGTAGTTTACGAACGAGGATGCATCATTATACTTGTGAATGTAGACGATGAGCAGAGTTTTTATGTACAAACATATTATTTTAGAACACCTTAGGTTTCTGCTTACCCCGTGGGTGCATGTCGTTTATTTCTCGTTATTTTTGACAATGTAATAAACAATGAAAATTATATTTTAATAATAACAAATAGAAATCGGATATTCCTAATAGTGTTAGGTACATAATAGGTACCTACCACATTAACACAATAGATCAATATAGAAGATGGTTTAGGGAAAACCCATGGCATCTAATATTTTATCCGTGAATGAAACAAATATTATGAGAAATAAATGGTTTAATTATTTAATTTATATAAAATTATAGAATCTTTGTTGTTGAAGTTGAATAGCAAATAAATAATTACAACCAAATTCAAAGTGTGCGTTGATAGTACGTTACAATACATTTAGCATTCATAAACAGGTAGGAAGCATTAAGTTCAATAACAGTGCTAAGTTTTATTGATTATTCCGCAAGGTATGGCAGGCACCAGCAGACATCCGGCCGGCCACTAGTTGCAGTCCTCGCTATCGCCACGCTAAACGATGCCCGACGCCATCGCATACATATTAACGAGCTACGAACCCTAGACACTACCACACTCCTACTTCACATTGACTGACGCTCCCCAATACAAACAATTTGCTAGTAAACATTATTATAGATATAAAAAATATTTCCAAGAAATCATAATGTACGCTTTACCTTGAAGAGAAAGTTAATTACCGTTCATGTTAATAGCAATCTATTTCGAAATGTTAGTCCTTCGCATAAAATATAAAGTTGTATAGGAGTCGTGTACAATGACGTCATAGCCGGGAACCTTCATTTTCACGGCAGCTGGCACACGTGCAGTTTGTGTAGTAGCGTTGGCTCTTCTCGTAAATCGTCACATAGATCGGTCCATTGAGTAAAATGCTATAATGGCGTCGCCTGGCAACGGATTAATGATATGGGATAATCTTATTTATCGAGGGCGTTTGTTGCCCTTTTAATTGTTTTCTGATGTACTAACAAATGTAGTTATCAAAGATATACTTAACTTTTAATGAATAACTAGTGACGTAAAATAAAAAAAGAAGAGTATGATGATTGCATTTTATCTACTACATAGGTCTGATGACTGATAGGAGAAGTGGTCAATGTCACTGGATCACGAGATGGTGCAGCGTATGTGAGTCAGTCCGTGACGCCATCAAGTGGTCGACTTTACCGAGAAACGTGACTTTGAACTCCTTCCATCTCGACTTAGATTAATGACAAAACAACGCGAGTGTTCGCTCACATAACAATCTAATCAAAAACCCATGCCTGGCAAAATATTTGATAAAAAGACTGTTGCTTCTGAATCATCGTTACGTTGATGGAAAAATGTTGAGTTATTCAAGTCTTATAACGCTGGCGTGACACGAACAAGCATGAATTCAGTTGTTAGATCGGTTATTTCTTGATATTTTTATAAAACAGAAATGAAACACCGGTAAGATTGTTCATTTCAATTGCAAACCTGATACCAAGAAACCAAAACCACAATCGACCTTCAATGTTTCATCGGTTGTAAATAAAAAATCTGCAATAATACTACTATTATGAATATTCATAATTTATTGTATAGGGGCTTATTAAAACTCGCATTTCAAATAGGTCAAACTATCTTAATTGCAAGCGGGCATGTATCGAAGTCGTAGTTAGCGTTCGTGTGAAAGGCCAACTTTGACACGACACACGATAGACCGGTAACTCCCAACCTAATGAAAAACCACGTTGGCTAGACACGCAAGCCTTTGTACACTGAAAAATTATACGTTAACTATTTGGATACATAATCAAGGCGATTATATTGAAACGAGTTTGTGAATAATGAAAATGGCGATAAATCTTAAACAAGTAGTAACATTAACGTTAAAGTCATCAAATATTACTAAAAATAGATGTTAATCAATATCCCATTTAACATACGATTTCAGAACAGTGATTGTGATTCAGAAACAGTCGAGTAAGGCATTCAATTCATCAGAAAAATGGACGAATAAGGCCACTACATAAAAGAAACTTAAAGAAATGAAAATGGAGGGCAAAAGTATAATAGCCATTAAGATTGCATGTAGGCAATAACAATTTAGCAAAAAAATATAAGTCACTTGTCATGGCAGAATGGCCCATTAATACTGGTGCCGTCTGAAGTGGTCTTTGAAACATTTAATGGATTGTATCCAATATGATTTAATACTAACGACAATTGGGTCTATGTCATGATTGCTATCAGAAACTGCAATTCAAGGCCAATGTGTATAGATCGCAGATCTGACACCGTTGGCCGACTGCCAATTTGCCTAGACTAGCTGAACTTAGTCAAAGTTAGAGACTTGAATAAGCAAGGGTTGATGCGAGGCTAAGCCATCATCCTGCTACTAAGAGCATATTGATCGTTGTCGTATTCGTAAGACCTTGCATTAACATCCTTGTTGTTTAGAATTATTTTTGCTCTGTTAAATGAACGTAAACCCAAAATTCGTACGGTTGATTATGCTAATAACGTGGAAGAGCGAACGCGTTGCGTTATTAGATACGGCAAAAGATAAAACGTATGTATTGACACATTTGTAAAGTTTTCATCTCATTACACGGTCAGTAAGTTGTACAAATGCGCTACTGGGGGCAAGAAGTAGGGTATTATGTTCCAATGTCAGAGGAATTGTTGGCGCGTTTGGACGAGCGCCAACAGAAAGGACATCTATGGTACTTAACTGCCAGAGGGAAATTGTATGATATTTCGCTGATATGGAATATCTTTATTTAGCTCTGAAGCCAGTTACAGTTATGTTCCGAGGGACTACAAAGAGCTGGTAAATCCCCTGCAACATGAGGTGTCGCAGTGCGAATTACTGCAGATACAGGACTACACAAGTACAAAAATCAATAAATAAATTGTTACTTTGACCTCACGGAACACCTTTCCTATTACTATTGGAACAGTGAACCATTGACATCTGTTTAGTAATGATTAAAGCAAGCAGTAATATTTCTTCGCGTTCCTGTCGAAACGAATCATATTTATGGGACTCTATATTTTATTTCGGCCAATAAATATCCTGTGTAATCAGAGGCAGCTGGAGCAGCACTGATAACCCTCTTTAAGATCGTTCTTATAATTAAAACATATCATAAACATTACATATATACGTGTTAAATGTTCTAAGCCGAGTGTTTATCATACTGGCGCTTTTTCGCGTCGGTCCTGGGCGTTGCTGACGTCAAACCTCTGTCAACATTAACTGGGTCAGTAAACAAGGATGAATTACATTCGGAGCAGCCGAAATCATTTCATTATACTATTGAACGCCGCCGGTGTTATTGAACGACGATGTATTAATGACAACGTTAGCGTAGTCGGAGAGGTCGCAAACTCCTGTGAGCATCGATTTTCTCCTATCTCTTTTGGTCGATACTGAAATGCTACAGTAGTCCGTTTTAAGATTCAAATTATTTTTTCCTGCGTTTTATTTGATTAAACCAGATGGGTCCACTTCTTGACAAGCCCGCTTCTTTTGTGTTGGAGAGGCGAAGGTGATCGATATCGTATGCAGTTAGGTGTCTGATGAAGTCCTTGTACTGATTGCTGACTGGAAATATTGCATAAAATCCATGTATGGTGGTGTTGTCAGCGTCAGCGGCTTGCGGGCGACGGGCGCGCGGCCTCCGCCCGGCAACAGGTCCGGCCGCGCGATCAATACGCCGCGCGCCGCCGCACGCCGAGTCGAGCCGAGCCCTTTCGATAACTACGCGCTACGCCGCCGGCCGAACCACGGGCGAAACGACGCGAACCCGTGATCACGTCACGCACAGCCGATTTGCACACAGGCATACATGTCGACCATCGACCGACTTCGCTCCTCTACTATCAATATTGCGTCGACAATCGAGAATCGCCTGCCAATAGCAACAATATTCAATTCGTGTTTGACTCTCTTGTACATGAGAAAAGTTATGTCTGCTGTACAGGTGCTGGACAATCGTGTTGGGACACTTTTCTGACATAAATAACAATTCTGAGAGCAGCATGCACATTTCTCATACCACTCAAGTTATCCCACAATCTCTTTCTGCTTCTGACACAAACCAATTTTTAGCTACTAGTGGCTATATTGAATTTAAAGTCGAGCTAAAAACTTATAAAATATGTTCCGAGTTTGGATAAACCCAATCGACCAGTTTGTTTATAACATCCATAACATGAAACACTTGTCAGCTTTAACGTGGGAACAGATTCTATAAAAAGACTGTTGAAAATGAAGCATGTATGTATAATATAACCCTGTGTAACACTGTTTAGTTGGGGGTGAACGGATTTGGTTGAAAGTTTACGCAATGGTGTGACTACAGCAATAAAAGTCAACGGTAACACATTACCCCCGAAAGCGGCGGCGATATGAGTTCATGAGGTGCTACCGAGTTAGATGGAGGGCGTAGGCAGTTCAGGGCTTAAGCAGCCGGTGGCGCTGTGAAGTGCTTCCGGAATTAGCGCGGGCGTCATGCGATCGGCACATAAATCTGTCGCCGGTGGCGTTCCGCGCGCCACGCGCCATGAGGCGCAGACGACGTGGGCGGTGCCGACGCGGTTGCAATCGCGAATTCACCGATACTATCTCAATTGCTTTACAGACACTGACAATCTTTAAACACATGTTTGACGAGATATCATATTATGAGCTACAGAAACATTCCGCTTTTATTTCCATACCACAAGAGTAATTTGATACAACGCCAGACTATCTTGTTTGGGGAATCGAGCATTCTAAACGAGAAGGGCCATTAGCAGGTGTAAAATATAAAGTATGAAGGAAAACGCTGACGCAATGCCCTGCCAAACATTAATTTAATGTAACATAAAGCAGTTACCAGGTATGATTGCTTCGGATATAATTGACAAAGTACTAGTCATTCACCGGTTTATACAAAATACTTAAAAGATTTGATAGTAACATTCGTTTTGTAAGATGCGCGTTCATTCCTATAATTTTAAATTGAAATGAATACATATTATGAAATATGGAACATGCCAAGTTGCCCTCACCAAGTTATTACTTATTCTCAGTGATAGAGCTATTTATACTGACGACATTGTTTGAGGCTAAACTCGGCGTAGATACCATGTTAACGTCAGACCTATGAATTTATTTATTAGATGAACACTTATTCTAACTTAGGTCACATACCTATCGGTCTGCTGGCAGTCAAGCGATCGATAGAGACAGTACAATAGTAGAACAGAGACAAGGTTTTTATAAAAACCTAATAAAAAAGCATGTATGTTCCTCAACCTGATTCTTTGACAGTATCTTATAGATCTAGCATAAATCATATAATTTATTTAGCATTGAGTAAATAGTGGTAAACATTTAGTTCCGCAAGGTGTATCGGTGCAGCGTAACAAACGAGACATGATTTTTCGCCAATTGAGCAACGGACCCAGTGCTTACCGGTTAAGAAACATTTCCACTGATGAGCTGGCGACAGCGGCATATAACTTACAATTTATAGACAAAATCACAACATTATAACAATCTTTGTTTATTTCAGCATCGCTGCTTTGTCAGTCTAACAAAATGGTCAAGTGACAGTCTTTAATATGGTTATCGATCAATACAGGTGTTAAGATTCAAAATAAAAAATGGGGAATTTTTGTTCACTATTTGCTTCCATCTCTTTAGCGAAAAGACAACGACCACAACGTCAACATTATCTGCCAACCAATTTAAGAAGACAGTGTTTACCCTATACGTCTGAAGAACAACCAAACATTTAAGGCGTCCTATGGATAGAAAATAAAGCCAGCAAAACACGTAAATTTAATTAGAAACAGTCGTACATACAAAGTAAAACGTCCTGACATTTAAATACATTGAATGTGCTCGTACATTCCGCATGTGATTTTCCTCATGATTGATGAGACACACAGATACGAGCGTTGAACCGCACACAAAGGGTTCCTTGTTACTGTTGCAAGAGCATCCGCCGACCGCGATTCTCGCCACATACTACAAAACAACTATCCTTATCGTGTTACTGACGGACCACTAAATGGTACACCAGTTCCACGCTGCTCGACTGTAAAGCGCTTAATGTATCAGGAATTCATAGCCTCTACCGCTATTTGGACATTTTTTAATTAAAATTTGCATATTTCATTCCCGACGTGCGTTTCGGGTGTACTTTCGCATCTTCATCAAATAAGGGTAATCTGTAGTCTTTTATTTTGTTTGTCTCTGCTCTCGCGGTAAAATTTTAGGGGCTTAGAAGTTTTGTAATTTAAAACTCTGTGCATTATTTTGCAAATATTACAAAAATACTCATTTTCGTGGAAACAACGTTAAGTTTGGATGAAAATTTTATTTGCTGGTTTTCTCCTACCGCCGAATTTAAATGTTTTATCGTAAACTCCTGTTACTACCTATTAAATAATATTGAAATGACCAGTATTGTTTACAATATCTAGTTCTAGTACATGTATTTTTAGGCTTGAAGCTGGCATTAAATGAGTATTGATATAAGTTATGAACGTGTGGATATGCGATGTATTATTTTTAATTATCGTGGTTACGGAGGTTTATACAGCTATGTTGAAGCACTAATCGTAACGGTTAAAGTCGTCAAGGATTATAAACTTGATTAAATACTAGTATGTAAACCGTACCTGTTTATGTGAACGTGTTTATCATGATGATTCAGTAAACGAATAAATAACTGCCATTTATCATTGTGCGTAAGTTGGAATCAACTGAGCGGAACAAATTCTTGTATTGTTGAAGACTACTGGATAACATTTGCACTGCGTCGTGTCATTTCATACTTGCTTTAGATAAAAATACAAGGATAATCGTCTTGCAACTCATTTATCAGTTATTTTGATTTAATAATGAAACTGTCCCCGACTGAATGATATTTACTTTTAAAGTAAGGCCACGCTTGTAATTGTGCCGCATATTGCCAACGCTGAAAATGCTGACGACGCATGAATGGAAATTGTGGGGAGTGTCTAAAATATGTGACAAATCTTGCAATACATGATAATAGCAAGTGAAGAAACATCATGACAAGTAAGAATAAAGATGGATATTATGAAGTAATAGTAGTGTGACTGCTTTCATAATGATAAAGTTAGAACAATTTAGTTTAAATGCAATGAATGGGTGGGATTGCGGAAGATACACAAATGTACGCATTGAGCAGAGACCGGACGAGTCAATCGGCGCGCGAGCACCGCTCCCTGCTTCCATCGAGGGATTGACAAATTGAATTGATGGCGGTGACGTCACGCGTAATACAGATGAACACTGAACATCAAATTATCAGAATGTACTAATGTGTACTTACCTACATGCAAACATCCGATGTTAATAATCGTAACAACAACGTTGTTATCACACCAGACTTTTTAATTAATCGTGGCCCCATTTTGCAAATTAAATACGTGAGTAAAATTAATTTCAACGTTTTGATCGGCGCGGTCTAATTTTATCCCTGTATGCTCGTTACCTTAACACCATGCGAAGTACCATGCACGACTAGCAATATTATGCCAACCTCTTTATTAAGAGAACAATTTGCGTTGCCGTTTAAATTTTATATTGTTTCCTATAGGCTTATGGTTCTAAACATTAGATACACAATTTACGAAATAATACTGCAGAGTGAAATTGAAAACCCTAGCAATGACTTGCATTTTCCTTTAGTCAGTTTCTAATATTAACAAGTACACTCTAAGTAGTGGCATCACACTTGTGACAATAGGGCGCTACAAATACGCATAGTTTCAAACGGTTTTGTCAACAATTAAGATCACCATTGGTGTCGTAAAATGGAATTAAGAAAGCATTCGTGATGGCGAAAGAAATGCAAGGTTTATAACTAGCAATGCAGGGCCTGTCCTCGTCAATAATCAAGGACCTTCAGTAGTAAAACTCGATTAAGTTCCGCCAAAAAATATTTTCAAGGAAATGTCAACCCCCTCCAGATGTGAGTGAGAGGTCTGGCAACATCAATTGAGGTTGTATTTATTTGTACGCATGCGTGTGCACTGCGTCAACTGAGCCGGGTGGCGTATATTACGACATCAACGTCGCTGAAAACGTAACATGGTAGCCCCCACTGCTTCCTCTGTAGTCTTGGACTTAGGGGCTGAACCTAAAGCCATTGACAAAGCGTCCGCGATGAGTAACGCTCGGTGCTACGCGGTGATGCCGGGCCCTAAGCCCCTGCCTATTCTCGGTAACAGTTGGAGATTCGCTATAGGGAAGAACCCTTGGAGAACCCGTGCTTTGGATGTTTCACTGTGGTTCCTGAGAGCTTTGGCAGGTGATGGGGGAGCGGCTAAAGTGTCCAAATTATTTGGACATCCTGACTTAGTGTTTCCATTCTGTGCTGAGGAAACTGCAAGGATTTACAGGCGGGAAGATTTAATGCCACATCGAGCTAAGGCACCGTGTCTCAGTCACTATAAACAGAATTTGAGGAGAGACTTTTTTGGGGATGAGCCCGGTCTAATTGGAGTGTAAGGAATAATGTTTTTAATGAACTTATAGTTAGTAATCTCGTGTGCCGTGTATAACGCGTACTAAGTTGTGCATTTGTTCTCGCAGACATGGGGAGCCGTGGTCTAGATTTAGATCGAAAGTATCCAAAGCATTGATAGCACCGGAGGCAGCAAGGGCTGCAGTGCCCGATTTAGAACATGTGACCGACGATTTTGTTCACAGGTACGTTTAGTCAGAATCATGCCTTTTGTTCTTTATCTTAAAAAATAACCGCGATCTGTTTAATTTACCGAGCTATTTTCGTAGCGTTATTTTGGAAAGAAAACATGATAGTGATAAATCTCTGTCATCGTAATGGAACTATAGTACACATTATGACGTGCACCATCAATGTAGGTGTTTAAAGAATAGTTTCAGAACACTATTTATTTTAAGTATTTGTGTTATTTTTATTTGTTTGTGTAACTGGTCGAATTACAACTTATAAAAATATAAATCTCGTGAAGCAGTTTCTTTTTAATTTTCCTGTTTTAAATTTTCCAAGTTTCGAACCAAATTACCGTTAGGATTTCTCGTAGTGCAAATTAGTAAACTGAGTTATTAATAATAGGTTAAATATCAAAGCACTGATAAAGTAAAAACTTGTATCTAATGAAAAATTCAATAAGCTTAAAAAACCTGTAAAAGACGTTCCGTTAAGTTGTTAACGCATGCAGCAATTTTGTGGTCTAGTACTTCGTTTTGCCTCTACTGATCCGAGTGTGGAATCTCAGTTTAATGACCACATCCCGTTTTTAACAACGACGCGCGGCGTCTGCGCATTTGTTTTGAGCGACAACTATACTTACTGAGTCACTGTGAACAACAAACCTCATTCAATCACAAACGTACCTAGCATTTCGTTTTAGTGACTTGACGTGGAATATTTAATGTTTAGATCAAGTTTACATAATATAAAACGGCTCCATACAAATTAGGTCCTGATTAAAAGCTACCTGCTATTTAGAGCATAGTTTATTTAAGTAAGTTCAACACGCGATCGTTAAAATATTAAAACTGTAAGCCCATTTTAAAATATTTTTGTTACAGAATGGAATGCATTCTCGACGATAATCGTGAGCTGCCGAAAGATTTTCTCACGGAACTCTACAAATGGGCCCTTGAGTGTAAGTGCTACTTGACGAGCGGCGCCACCTTCTGTGAACCCTATTGTGCTTTTCCGCATAAACTTGCACCAAGTGGTAATTTAACGCCTTAAGAAAACACTCATTTTTGTTCTAGCTGTGGGCGCTTGGGCCTTGGGGACAAGACTCGGATGTTTAAAGGATAACGATGCTGAAGCAAAGGAGATAATTAGGTGTATTCATGGGTTCTTCCATAGTGTTCCTGTACTGGAACTGTCTGCACCCTTGTGGCGAATATATTCAACGCCGGCTTACAAAACATATATTGAAGCTTTGGATGCGTTTAGAGCGCTGTGTTTGAAAAGGTTGACTGATAAGGGTATTTGTTCTCAAATTGCGAAGGCTTCTGGAGAAAAGGTTGCCACTATATTGGCTTTGGACCTGCTACTGGTTGGTGTGGATACCACAGCAGCTGCTGCAGCGAGTACTTTGTATTTACTGGCCAATAATGAAAGAGCACAGAAAAAACTACAAATAGAAATGGACAACAACCTGCCCAGAGACAGAGGAATGACTAGTAAGGACTTAGACAGGATGCCTTACCTCAAAGCTTGTATAAAGGAATCATTGCGGTGAGTGATTGTTTTTCTAAAAACAATAGTAAACACTATTTTCATCAATAAAACATTATACAATAAATTACGCCATTCATAAGCCACAAAAGGCCATTCTATTGCCATAAACAAAAACACAATTCCATTTACTATAGAAAATTTCTGATAGGTTAGAACATGAGTCTTCTATCTATCAATACACGCTAGAACAATTGCAAGTTAGCAGTTTGCATAATACTCTATTATACGGCTGATGCAGAACTGAAAGAATGAAATCTTGATACTATTTCCCGATTCTAGGTACCTAAATTTCGTATGGTAGCTTTGTACCTTCATAAAATGACTAGTTGGCGTTGAAAGGTGATAATTGCCCTTTGTTGGTCTGTTAGTCACCGGACGGAGTTTGCGGTTTCTTCGACCTACATAGAGGCACAAAACATAAGATTTTCTTTGAAATATTTTACGAGAATAAAACTTCCTGATTAACTCATCCTACATGCGTCTTATGTTTCATCAAATATTAGTGATATTACATCTTTTTTAAATACGGTTGTGAAAGACTGCGCCAACATTATCCCGTTTTTAGTTTTGAAATGTTCAGCTTAGGTTTATGACCGGTTCATTAGAATTGAATAGACAGAAACACTTCTCCGAACACATTTCGGCTACAGTCGTGATCTTATACCAATGTCATTAACAGTAATAGGAGATTTTCCTCGTGTCAAGAGTCCACTAACCTCCAACATACGTTCTGCAGGATAAAAACTCGATACAAATGTATCGTCTTATTGTAACATGACCAATGATGGTCAGCGTCAGGTTACATTTGCACCTGAGTTACTATTAGGAGCCGACTCCACAACTCAAGTGTAACAATACTTGTGTACAAACTATATTATGTAAATATCACTTGCTATACTAGTCCTCATGCCCCGATAAGTTCAAAGAATTCATAATTGACGTCTATATGTCAATTATTGAAAAAAATAAACTAGACAACATAATAGGCTTCAATAACTCTCATAATAATAAAAAAAAATTGCAACACTAATTATTAAAAAGTTGTTAATAAAACACAACATGCAAATTCAGGATGTCACTATTTCGCAGAAGGATATTAACCCTTGTACTGCGAACAGGAAAAGAGTAACATTCTCTATTTTTAGGAAGTGATATCATTTTACATTTTATTTCAGTTCAATATGTATCTTACTTAATAGAGTTTTCCTTATAATACGGCTTAAGATAAAGAGAAATGAAATCGAGACGTTGATTTGTGTTTGTTACAGAATCAAACCAGTTATTTTGGGCAACGGAAGGTGTATCCAATCAGATGCCGTGATATCTGGATATTCCGTTCCTAAAGGGGTAAGATATTAAAGTAGACAAAATCTCACCAAAATATTGAAACAGCCATCATTAAGCAATAAATGTCTCAAGAAACTGGTATTAAATTAGAAGCTTTATTTGTGCGTGTAAGAGGAAAAGGATAACATAATATTATTTCCTTTTCAGTCGCACGTCGTTTTCCCGCATTACATCCTATCAAACGAGGAACGGTACTTCCCGTCGCCGAAGGAATACGTTCCCGAAAGATGGCTACGTGACAATGAAGTTCGGGCGCCTGATCAAGCTCCTTCAGGATCGATAACTAATGCTGATAAGCCAGGATGCTCGTATACAAGAGCGATGGAGGTGTGTCGCAAGCAAAAGGAAGTAGGGATCCACCCATTCGCCTCACTTCCTTTCGGCTTTGGACGACGCATGTGTATTGGAAAGAGATTTGCCGAAGCTGAGTTGCAACTTTTACTTGCTAAGGTGGGTTTTAAAGGCTGAAATCTGTACGGTAGTACCTATGTCACGTTATGTAAAAAAAAATCTAGCAATGATCATTGATTTGTGATTTTTTTTTCAGATATTCCAGAAATACAATGTATCGTGGCGGTACGGCGAGTTAACTTATAGTGTAACGCCGACGTACGTGCCGAACGAACCGTTGCAGTTCACACTCCATAAGAGAAACGGTAACAACACTAGCCTATAATTTTACATGTTAAACAAGTAAGGCGAACAACCAAAGACGATTTAATTTAGGCAACGATTTCTATGAGCAAGTTTATATTTAACTTGCAATGTATGTCAGTATGTTAGTTTAGGATTAAACTAAGTTTAAAATGTGCACGGCAGACTTTTTCAAATAAACCCTTTATGTTGGCACCTTTATTTGCATTTCATTATTTATACACTCGTAATAGCTGTTGCAACTGGTAAGTTCAATGTTTGGTTCTAAAACAAAACCTACATTTCGGTCGAAAGAAAGTCAACCTTTACTCATTCAATATTATGGGGATTACGAAATGTCCATAAAGTAACGGTTCATGTAATGTTTGAGTAGAATTTCTTTGCACTTGGACGTGTCATAAGTGTTTGTGTACTTACTATTTGGCGGAGTCGTTGAGCTGGTACTCGTTGGAGCGACCGAAGCACTCCTGCACGCCTGCGTCCGCCCAGAGCCTCTTCATCGCCGCCAGCAATTCCTCGCTGAACGGCTCCGTGTCCTCCATCCGTTGGATCACGTCAAACACCATCTTGCCATCGCTCTGTAACAATAATTATATGTCAATCATTTCATTGAAGCAGACGATATTAGTATCGTCTTAAACTTTCGGTGACCTAACTACGATCCTCAAATCACGAACCTGCGTGGGCATCATGGTAAAATTATAACGAAGATAGTTTTAATCGGCAGTCGATGCCATTCAGCTGACGATTCCATTCAAACCATAATTTAACATTAGGATAAAATGGCATACCACATGACACATTTTTCAGTCAGGTTTTAGTTTTTTACAACCTACGTATGGGTAATCTTCGAAGGGCGAATGGGTTGTAAGACCTTGCATTTTCAAAAATTGTGAAAGAACAAGTAGAACTTTCGCTACTATTATCGTATTATCGAGTGCAGTGAATGGCAACAGTAACAAGCAAAAGGACACCATTACCATTGCAGTTTCATAACAGTTTCGGAATTTCGCCATGTCGAAAGAAAACAACACCCTTGACAACAAAAAGCTAATTGTTTCTTTACTTAGGCATTACTCTAAACATTTTTGCTAAATTAATTTACTATGCATGTACCATTTACGCTTTTGAAGTTGAAGTGACCATTATTGTATTATCAGTTCATATAAAATTGGAGACATCTTGTTTAATTTGTATATATTTTAATGAAGTCATTGTATATTAGATTAATACGTTAATTAAGACTTCTGTTGTCCATTTCCATTGTCTGGTATTAGTAATAAAATAAACGACATTAAAACATTATGAATAACTACCATTATAACAGGAAACAATCAGTTAAAACGTTTAATTTTCCCTAATTTACATAATTATTATGAAAAGTATACATTTATTATCCGTTTGCATACAATATTCATTCGTATTATCCTATCAGTGATGAAACTCAACCACGTGACAAACATAAATATAAAGTAATCATTATCATAATCATTTTAGTCATTAGTGTGATTGAAATAAATTCGATAAGTTCTAAGTATGTAAAAAATGTTCACAAAAACATTAACAGTGATTATGTATTAACGACTTAATTGGTTAAGCATAACTCATTAGTGATTTGTGGTACTAAACTGTGAACAAAGAGTTTTCATAAAGTAGGAAATCGAATAAACAAATAGTCAATAGGCAGTTTCCTATACAAGGGGTTGTGGCAAACTTAATATGAACTAACCACATGGCTGGACATAATTAGGGAATACCCATATTACTGTTAGTTTGGTAACTAGAAATACATAATAGATTTCATGACCAGTTTAAAATTTCAATCATGCAACGACGATTACTTAACTTTAAAAGTAATAAACGCAGCTATAAAGAAAGATGACTCATAATAATTCGTGTTGAACAGCAATATCGTCTCAATTGGAGTTGAGTGACCCAGCATCTTCGACATACGCTAATCCGATTAGTAATCCATTTAGCAAACTCGTCTCGAGAACCGTACGCTTTCGTTACGCAATCCATGTAAGAAAGAATTCTTACTAATGACAATGAGAATGTACAATATTCTCTCGTGTTTAGTCTTCGTCTGAAAGTTTGACGAAGTTTGTTGACGGCCAGACTGCAATGCATCATAAATACTCATATTTTATGTACCAGAGACAAGTCCGGCTTGTTCTGGGTATTATAAAAGTTTACTCTAGCGGCACTGCGGCATGAAATGCCATGCTATGAAATAAATAACTCGTACATTAAGCTTTTGCTTTTACTGGTTGCAGAGGTTTCTGTGAAATATGCTCTAATTATGACGGGTGTTGCGGGCTGCGAGGCGCATGCGCGCTGCCCGCAAGGGTGACGGGAAGCTCGCGGCCATTCACAACCCCTCTTCGGAATAACCCGCTATCGCCACCCTTGTTACTTACACATTGCATATTCATTTAAATACACGAACGTCCATTAGGTCGTTACCTAGGCTGGCATTCAAGCTTTGCTTTTGTAAAGCACAAGGGCGTTTAAATAGTGGACGATTATATTGCTGTTACAGTCAATATTAAGATTGACACTGAAACATGTTCTGTGAATGACGTGGCAGTTTATGATGGAAAATAACACTTCATTGACATTGTGCCCTAGCCTATGCTCGTCAATAAACCACGTGCAATAAATCATTTTATCCACTACCTTGTAACTTAAACAAAAGAGTATGAATGCATTCAGTAGGAAACCAACCGTACAACTTAGACCTGAACATGAACAATGCGAAGCAACCCTCATGTGATTCACAGTGCGTGGTACTTAGGTTTTGTTTCAACATGTTTATGCCGGATAGGGCTGTCACGTCCACTGCTTTCATGTCCCTCGTTGAGATAAAGAGATAGGTGCACGAGGTTACATACGGTGCCTTGTGCACACTAGCGAAGTAGCGACGCACCACACGGTGCGAACATTATGCTAAACTTATAGGGGGCGGTATGGCTAAACGCACTTCTCATTAGAGGAATACATTAAAGGGGATCGAAGTCGGTACATTTCCTAACTGGAAAATACAGCCATTCTTTAATCTAGCCGGCAATATTATTTATTGCGTGAGAAGGACCAGTAACGGATATTTTTTATGACTCTGTCTCATGGACTTTTAAGATCCGTTTACGACGTACCTAACTACCTATGTCAAATGGTACGTGCGTCACATCTCGTGACGAGTGAATTAATTACAGTTTTCAGAAGGAGCTCTCATTCGTTGTGTAACCGATGACGTTGACATGTACCATTCCTCAACAGGTCGGAACGGAACTAAGATACCTTATCTGTGTGACATTCCGAACAGGTACTCACGATGATAACAGTGTCCAACAAATCCCCTACAGAGTTTATAACATGTTCACTGGTCGTCCGCTAGTTGCTAATAGAATCGCGGACTATCGCAAATACGACGTTCTCCTTATCTGGTTTTACTGTAAATTATTCAGTTAGCAAGGTGTCGTTAACGTTAACACAATAACCAGGTTCACGAATTAACTTATCTAAAGTGGAAAATTGATTGGTTTTCCGTAAACGTCTTAGGTATGTCTATCTATCTTGCATTTGAGATAGCAATTTGGTTCCACCAGTAAATGTCATACTTTATACAAAAAACATGATTTTAGTAAAACAGAAAGCTTTACAATAATAGTATTATTTGATTTTGTACATTGATTGCAAACAAAACAACAAATAATGCAATAAGCTGTTGTGCAGAGTGCAGTCGGGGTCGGACGGCTGGTACACGGAGCCACTCTCATGAATAACGAACGAATACCTAATATTGATCTCCATAGAGCGAACATTTCATGAAATCGAAGAACTTCGGGGAAATGCAGATGCAATTTTCATTTATTCATAGAAACCCTTCACTAGAAAATTATGCAAATACCGGTAATATTTTACTGTGGAATTGTCCAAGGCCAAGGAAAAGCTTGAAATGATAAAGATGTGAAATATTTTAGATTGTGTTTATATTATATTACAGGCTAAACAAAACGGATGTTTGATGTATCTACGGCTGTTCCTCAGCCTCAAAATGAATCAATGACGTGGAATGGTTACGATGCAATAAGTATCATTACACGCCAGTATCTCAGGCACTCCCACAAATTGCTTTGTAATCAGCATTAGAGGCAAACGGAAGCCTCGGAGCACTTATTCCCAATGTAGATTTCGATGCAATCGACATTATTTTTACTGACGATCGTCCATTATTTATAGAATACGGCCGACACGTAATCGACGCAGTTTATCGTCTACGCAACGAATACTCGCTTTGATTTTCGATTTTAGTAAACTAATGACTACTATCCGATTGATATCTTTGAATAAATAATTCAATTTCAACTGTTCTCATCACTGATTTTTACTTATATACAGTTCAAGTCTCATCAAAACACGGACTAAATTAGAATTTCGTAGCGTTTAATGCAAATACTGAGAACTCCTTCACATTTAATATTGAATGTTTTCTTTCTAAGGGTTTGTTATGGAATATTTTATAAATTGGCATGTTTATCGAACGACATGGAAAACTTGTCTGGTCGACGACAGGTCGATAAAATAACCTAATACCGCTAATACCTATGAGATAATGTCAAAGTCAAGGGTTTGCTTGTTGTTATTTGCGTGAGTCGTCGACCTGTGGCGAACTAGGGTTAAGTATTAATAAAAATGTGTAGTTTACCTCTCGGTCCTTATTGCCGTAGGTGATGCCCAGGTTGGGCATAGCACGCAAGATGGCGACGAGCGACTGAATCGTGTTGCTGTACACCACCGGCCGGTACTGTTTGAAGTCTTCATTTGTGAAGCCACTTTCGTGGATAATTCTGTAGGAAGAAAAAGTAATGTCATCAATAAAGCAATGGCAAGGAAATTAACTGATCATCTGCTATCTCTCCTAACATCGACCTAATCAATAGATCACAAACACAATACACGAGTACTACAAATTATGACATGTAGAGATGTAGAGGACAATTATCACAATTTATTTATGACACAGAACAAATGAATTGGCCAAATTGAAAGAACGAGTTAATAAAAGGCGTAAATGTGTATTAGTCATCGATCGCCTTGTGATTCATAGTTCCAATAGTGCGGTATTTTAACGAGATTGTAGAGTTCCAAGCTCGGCCGAAGTGATTTCATGACGTAGCCATTAATGTTACGGGAATGTACAACAAATTAGCAATAAACTTGTAATTTATGCAGTTCCCTTAACGCAATTATAAATGGCTGTTTAATACATTCACTTAACAACTGATGATATAGGTTATTTAGAAGAATTTTTAAAGCCTAGAAATATTTTATTGTATTGTACTGTGTAACTGTTAAATTAATTTACATTTCACATAAATAACATCTGCAAAGTTTTCCTCTTGATTAATCACTGTTTAGTTATGTAATAATAGATATAATACGTACATTAACTACAAGGATAACGCCTACTATAGTAAAATTAAATATTATAATATCATTAAATGCATAATCAGTGTTCCACAGTGCCATTGTACGTCCAGGGCTAAAGACGAGTTCCGAACAATAACTTCAAGCACAAAAGACTGGAATATCTTTTCAACAGGCTATTGGAGCTAAAAAATGGAACTACATTATTTTCTATAGATAAGAAAATGACTCATACTTTTCACTTAAAACCTTGTTCCGGTTTTATTCAACTCCAAGAGTCCAATCTTCTCCCGAATTTCATATTTATGACGCATTCGTATTGTCCAGGTCTGACAGCTTAAATTATTTAGTTGATCAGACATACAAATTGCATGTACATAAATAAATAATGTAGGTGAGGGCAGGCTCAACTCGGTGACAAACGAGAATATTGCCAATTCGGAGGACGGGATAAATATGCCATTGAATATGGATTTCGTGAAACTGTCCTTTTGTTCGCATTGTTCTTAACTTTAAATTCTGTTCGATGTCCGTTTTTGTTGTTTCATATGGAGAAAGAGCATGCTTTAATAAGTCAATTTAAAATAAAATACATCAACATAGCTTACGTAAGCATGTTGTATTGAGCATACCACTGTGCTTTCCAAGTTATGAAAGCAAATAGGTTGCTGACAGTTTCTTACAAGATGTTAAGTAAATATTTTAGTATTTTACGGATTCGAACAATGGCAGCGGTGCGTGCGGATGATGCACTTCTTCTAACGAAAACAATCTCGGCGAGCGAGCTGCGCGCGCCTTTCTTGCACAATTCGCAGAATTTTACTCGTATTTCCATCAAATTCCAATTTAAATTTTTCAGATACAAATGTAACTAAAAGATTGAAGAGAGTGACTAAACAGGTTTATCTTCATATAGACTTACATTCTGTAACATCGATTGAACATTAATAATTTATCGAAAAGATATTATTTTCATATCGATTAAATAATTGGATTTCCAACGTCTGGCGTTTTACAGATCTGTAGCATCCGGGACTCGGATGACGTCATTGCCAGTTTAGTATGATGCCAATATGGCAACATACACAAAACGTTGATCATACCAACATTAACGTAACTAGAATGGAGCAATATCGATGATCGTACTTTTGTAGTAACCGTATCATAAGTCGGTTGTCCAAGTGACACCTTATCGAGATTTGTTGACAATACAAATAGTATTTGCTTTGATTAGATAAAGACAATTTGACAATATGGTCAAATGAATTTATAGACTTTTTAACGTTTACAATAAATTGGGAAAGTCCCAATGCAAATGAGATTACATTAAGTACCTGCCTAATAAATGACTCATGGCATCTGATTCAGAAACCGGTTAAACATAGATATGGCTTGCCCAATTTTCACTGACCATCGTCAACTTTTTGGCAGGGTTTCTAAGATCACCGTGAGACAGAGACATCGTCAGATGTCGTTTGATGACGTCATGAAACTAATATTATTCATACATCACATGTACGTCGCTACACCTCATGTCGTGAGGTGAAGACAAATAATATATCTTAATTTAAATAACATGAACCGACGTATCATAAAACTGCTAAACAACGGAACATATTCTACGTGTTACTCAGGCATTTAGCGAGTATATTCAGAAAATAATATAACATATACATTTTTTAATGCAAATTGTGAAATGTTTCAGCAATGCCATTTCAGAGTTATTTCTTCTAAACTGGCCTATAGCGTTCATTTAAATAACATATTGGTAAATTGAAAACATAGTATTCCCTACATTTCATACATCAAGTAATCTTTTATCTTCAAAATGTAAAACGCTTGTTGACAAGTCGTAGATAGAGAGATAGCAGACAATCGGCCGATATGTTATACAGCTAGTTATATCTAAACAATAGTATTGATTAAGATAGATACGAATAATTGATAACATCGTGCTTCAAATATATTGCAGAAAGGGTACAAAAAATGATGTGCACGGAATGCAGTTTTGAATGAGGGAAGGAATGCCATTTTTTGCTCACTAGATGGAGCTAGTGAGAACCTCTCATCTTATCGTCCAATAGGCAATTAGTTAGTGTCACACCATTGGTCATTCGAATTTTGACAGCTACAGTGATTGGACAAACTGCCTTTTTGCTAAACGAACGCCAACTGATGTTCGAAAAAAAAAATGATAGCCGCCATTTGAAATTATGGATGTATTCGTATTTTGACCAACGGTCACCGACCACTAATAAATACTGTCTGTACCATGGCTTGGTGACATATTTAACAGAAAAAAGTAATATTTTGTGTTTGAATTTTTGCCAAGCTGTTTTGGACTTAGATGCAACTGTTTCATCTGTGTTCTTGGCTATTAAAATTATATCTTCCCACAAGTTTCAAAGCAAATGTAGTTTGTTTGAATACAGGACAAAGCTTGCTAGTTCATAATAGTTATAGACCGATTTGCTTTTAAAACTCAGAATTTTCTTGATGTAAAGCCAGCTTTGCTATTCAGCGGATGTAGAAGTTATACGGTTCACGACTTTGCCATCTATTCAAAGGATGCAAAAAATCTATTTCCTTTACTGACTGGCGAATGCTAGGAGCCGTGCCAAGCAATTTAGATGGACTATTTATCTATTAACGACTAAGGACGTGTGCTAGTGTTGGATTTCAATCAAATTTGAAATGTTAAATAGTTTGTCATAAAAGCATTCCTTCCAATCTTAGTGCCGATGTTTTAGCTGACTTTGTGAATAGTATGAACTCTTATTACTTTACAACTAATGGATACGATTATGGTAAACTTACTTCATTTGTTTGACTATAGTACTTTTGCCTGATTCACCAGCACCTGCGAACAAAACAAATATATTAAATACAAGTCGTGGATCAGTGTATTGTGATTCATAAAGTTATCCAATCATAACAACGTTACATTAGAATTAACTAATTGAATACATTAGGAAGACCAATGTTGTATAAAGCTGCGTTCCTTCAAAGTAGACATTTCGCCAAACCACGTAATAAAACACGCGATGATATAAAAACATTTAATTACCGCCTAAATGTAAACTGTTTCAGTCCACATTATGCACGTCTCGTTGAGTGAAAATAGCATGGAAAAATAAATTAACGTTTGCTGTGAGCCGTACGCGGACATACAAAGGGTTTACCACGCTGATCGATACAATTCTGTGTTTGCAGCACTGCGCATACTGAACACTTAACATACTTCAGGTTTTTCCTTTAATTCCCTGAATACAAAATGGGCAGGTACACAAGGGCTAAATATTACGCCGCAAACCCACCTATTAAACTTCATTTAATTGTCTTTAATTGCAAAATTATCTTTTACGATGAACAATAGGTGATGATTTGATGACAATGAACAATCAAACGTTTCTAGGCAATAATTGCCTTTTAAGTACTATTTCGTCTTAGGTACTGACTCAGGCCTGTTAAAACATATTTAATATACATATCCCTATAGTCTGTATTCATTTACCGTTATACCTTAGTACGTAGGTATTAATTGACTAATAAAGTGACGAAATTACGTGGGTGTAGCAAAACGAACCCCGTCAAATTCAGGTTCTGAGTATCGTGACCCCTGTTGGGTCTAATTGGCTCGCCAGCGCGAATGGCCGATCTCTGACCTCCCGATATACACATTATCACTACACACTAGTGCACTCATGATTTCTACATTGCAACTTCAACCATTCATACCTTTGATTGTTTTACTAATACTACAATATTATTTATTAAAGGATGAGGCGTCTTGCACGATGACAATGCATTCGTACGTCAAAATAAAAGGTATCATCGCATATTTCATATTCGCAGTGAAAGAACTTTCACAATAAAGTGGATGGTAATCGCGTGTCAAGAAAGTATTCCCACGAACACCTAATGTAATAACTTTTAAGCAGTGAATGTCATGTTGGCTTATTTAGTTAATAGTGAATGCTTAAGAATTCAAACAGTTTGCAAGGTATCTCACGCAGATCAAACGATCGAAGCAAGGAATAAACGGCACATTACCTCACTATCGTGTTCCGTACCTGCGAGGAACATTACTATAACCCAACATTTTATTTTTATTGTCTTTGGCTACATTTATATTATTGTCATAGAGCACTTTTTCGCATGAACCTGGTTGAATGTTTTATCGTGTCGTAAACCTCGATAAAAATATAATGTATCGAATCGAACTTCTGTATCGGTGTGACAGGATGGGTAGACGTCGCCTCTGAGCCTTTTTGCGCTATCATCACGATAACATCGTCGCGTGCTCGAATACCGCTTGCCTGATAAAATACCTGCCCATAATGTCCGTCCGATCGCCTCTTCAACGTTAACCTGACAACATTTGCCTACTCACGAACAACTTATTTAATTTAGAAGTGGTAAATCGAAGAAGAAACATTCAATACCAAGTCTTTCCGGTTATCTAATACAAATTACTTAATATTGAGGGATTATAGCAGAATTATCTTTTTAATAACATCGATATTGACCGATTAGTGCAATAGATTAAGAATTATCGCTTTACGAAGTTCACGTTGCGATAGTAATAAACAAAAAAATCGTAGTGTATATGTGCATAGCACAAAATAAATGATACAATGTGAAAAACGTTACATGTTATCAATTTTTTAAAGCCAGTTGGATAACTTGGGCAGGGAATTAATTCGAGTTTTAAACGAAGCACCTCACGTAACATGGTATTTAGTGCATGCATAATAGAATAAATGATGTCGATTTGAATATTTTTTATCAAATTCCTTCAACAAGCACCCATTTCGTGACATACACGCATGAATTCTAAACCCAGTGGATATTCCAGATTATTGACTTGATTATACACTTAAGACAATACCTACTTGAGATTTTTTACGACTACATTTAATAATTTACGCGAGAGTAGACCACATTATGTGAGAATGGTGTGAGTGATCTACATAAAGTACAATAAGTTTGTATTGTGCTTTGACCAAGATAATTTGCCCTGCTCAATACAATTTTATTAACATTGAAATATGGATCTTATTTCCATTGCAATTAACTTTCTAATAAAAGTCGTTTCATAGGTAACATGAGTATAAGGTGAGGTAACTATGACCATTGAAATGTATGGATTTTTTTCAAAGTGAGCCATGTGGTGTTGTGAGGAGTGGCTCATTAAAGCAAAACGCCATTCATGGTCATACATACACGCGCCGTCAACCACGGCCGGCATGCCGTGACACCTCAATTAACTTCTAGCACAAGATATCTAGTTGACACACTTGTCACATGTGAATGGTCACCACATACTCATTATATGATTGCTAAACATATTTTTTGTTTGATTTCATTTTCCTTGAAATGACTACATGCAGAGAATTAAACAATTGTTCTAATATTCTAATTAGAGTTCTAGACATTTGATGTCAGTGTTTTAGAAGGACACAAGTCATAACTTTGCATTCAAAAAAATATTCTGATATTTTTTCCTGTTATGATTTTCACCCAAAGCTTGTGCGGTTTTGTTAGATATTTTAACAATAGGTCTAGTAAGAATGTAACAATGGCATGAATGTGACCTGGAATGTATACACTGGCAGCTATGTATGTAAGTAAATATTACAAAATGTTGTTAGTCTGAACACCAATGATTCAATCATTCACTAGCTGATCTAAACATGACCTACCATCTAATATAGTACCTAACATACATATAACATAAACCAATGTAGTTGAGTAATGAAATATTTTTTAACTCGTCGAGTACCGGTTTTGTAGACACAATTATAGAACAATAGGTTGCGGTCACCAGTGACCGCTTGGTGTTTGACTGTTTAATAAGAAACAGAAATTGTTGATCATTGAACTACCCACTTCATTGTAGACAGTAGAAAAACACAATGGTGACTCATTCTGGGTGTAAAATGACTAAGTAATTGGTTTTGAATGGTATGCATAACCATGCTATAGGTAAAGTTATGAACAATTGATATAAAGCTAAAACTTGATAAATAAATTTAGGTAACAACCTATATGGCAAATAAATAACTAACACAAGGACACTATGAAATAAGGAAAGTGATAATCTATTTATAAAATCCATAATGACCATTAAACACAGCTGTTTTAGCAGAGCTCGAGTCAATGCACCCACATCAGTGTCAAGATCAAGGTAACCTGCTTTTGTAACATATTTTAATTATTTCTTTACTACAAGTTCACAACAATTTTGGCTCCTATTCCAATGATATTCTGTGTGTATAATGAGTATGTGAGTAAAGAGTAAGCACTATGCTCCATGACTCACAAGATTGTAGTCACAATGTGAGGAAATCGGAGCCTGCAGAACAAACTTGTCATCAATTTTGACATTTTTGAATTTGTTACATTGTTATGGTACAAATCAAAGGAAAAACTATAGTTTTAATTCATCAAGGTACTGTAAAACTGTATGTATTGAGTTTTTAGTTGTGTTTCCTTTAGTGATTGTATTTAAATGTAAATAAGTATTGTACCATTTATCGTTAAACATGAATGACATTGTTCTGGTGAAATATTGGCAACCGTTCAAAACACTGCCAACAGGTACAGTGTTTACAGTGATTAAAATTCTTTAAATACTAGTTGATTGTTTACTGACAACATTACATGTGGTTTTGTAATAACTAATACATTTTCTTTACAATTTGTTTTAAAGGGAGTCACTGAGAGCAAGAAGTATTTTATTGAAATATTGTGAGTGTAGGTTGTTTAGTTTGTATTGTATAATAGATTTTGCTTTTGTGCTTTATCAGTCTGAAAATGTTATCACTTGAAGGTCATCTATGTAAATAGCAGGAAAACTGCCATTTGCCACAATGGAGATGTTTCCTTACCAGCTAAGTTAAAGTAATACTTGATAAGAATCTACTGTTTTATTGTGGCTTATTCTTATTGGACTTGAAATGTTGGTACAAATGGGTGATTGTATTTCTATTTTTTCTTTACTCTGTAGTGTCAAGTATGAGCTTATGCTATTTCTACTTATGTTAGACTAGCTTTTGAGGTTTTAATTATTAGGTAATTTAACTCTAACTAATGCATAACAATTCATGTGAAAACTTTGTAACAAGTAAAAATATATTTCTCAGTGATAATGACATCATGGGTTCAAATAAATGTTATCAATCTCATTAGCTAGGTAAAACAAATAGTGACAATGTTAAAGTACGTCATGTAGTCCTATATGTCGAAATACGATAAGGAAAACCCCTCCTGTATAGATTCACGACATTGAAACTGAAATCAACCATGATTAGCATAGAAATTACTGACAATGAGTTCATACTCATGTTTCCTAAATGTGAAACAAATAGGAACTTTCATTTGCGCACGGAACTACCGTACATGCCGGCATAATGATTAGCTTCAAGTGAAAGCCACTCTTCGTTCAAAATACTCAGCGAGTGAATACAATGCCCGACGAACGTTAGGACGCCACTACAAGGGACTCCGTTAATGTAAAAAGTGTCCAATAGGACGCCCAATAGCTGCAACAAACCCCCGAAACATGGGTGCGGCCATGGATCGCAGTCAAGTTAAACAGTTACACCGTACCTAATAAGAGCAACTTGATATCTTTGGAGGCCTGGATTCCATCCTCTTTCAGGTTCCTCTCGATCTGTCGGCTGCGAGCTGCAGCCGCACGCTCCTCGGCCGACTGGGCGCACCCCATGTCGGCAGCTGTCCCTGTTCCTTGGCCGCCGGCCGCCCCGACCCCTGAGCCGGGCGCGCTCTCACCGCTCCCTCTGCATGCGCTCCACACGCGTCCTGCCGCTCCGGCGAGACCGGAGCCACCCTACACAACGTTAGCACCCAACACACAGTAACCTAACAGTACCACTTATCACTGTTCATACGACTTCGCAACACAAAATCTTTAGATTAACGATCACGAATCAAATATTTCCAGGGATTTTTGCTGCACCGAACACTAAAAACACGCAACGACAATGCAAACTTTAATTGATTTTACAAATCCGTTTAAATACGAGATAATGGCGGCCGGATGACAAGCACCACACCAACTCCGCACCGTGACAGCGACCGCGCCCCGCTCGACTGACGTTCGGGTGCGTTCGGAAATCTTCGTTCGGACTCGCTCACACATGCGTGAAAGTACATTCACACGCGAAACAGAGCACGAGCAATGCGCTAAAATCAAAGATATGTCAAAGACAAAATCTACTTTTTTCAGACTAAAAAAATATGATAGCGCCAATTTTAAATAAATACCGTTTTAAACAAAATCATTCAGTTAGATAATTTTAATTTATATTTTAACAAACGAAGAACGTCTTGTGATTATGAAAATATTAAATTAAGATTATGAAAATATTAAACTTCGTTATTTTTAATTTATACATCAAATTAATAATCTAACGTCTTATTCGAAAATGATCTTGAAAAGATTTTAACAAACACTAGGTATGTACCATAATGTTTGCTATTTATTAACATTCGTATTGATTAATTTAAATTTATTGGTTTAATATAAAATAAACCACACTTGGCTCCTACCTAGTCACTTAATAGAATTTTAGCGTGGATAACCAATGGGTGCAAGTGGTAAACTGTTCGAGGCTTTCTTTCAGCCGTGGACGTCGTCTGACTGAGAATGATAATTACCTATAGGTATCGAAATTATTCGTGTTTTAGTATGTCAAAGACCTGTTAATTTAAAAAAAATATATTTTCTTGGTTCTTGGGAATATTTTTTCTTGAGCCTTACATACAGTTCTTATATTTTAATTCAATAATAAATAATCAAAAGACGATAGGCGTTCCCCAATAACTTTAATTACTGTATTTATAAATTTTTGTCCTTAAAATCACGTAGCGCAGGTGTAAACTTACCATGCAAGGGTTAGGTACAGGCAGGTTAAAACATTGACATTCTGTAGCTACTTAGTTCAAAATTATGTTATAATCTTTCATAAAAAAAAAAAAATACCGGAAGGCAGTTTATTTGTTTTTATTAATGATAGGAATATAATATTATAGACATAAATGTTTCACTTCACAATACGTGCATTAGTTCAAGTACTAGTTCAAGGAACGCAGCTGCTATCATATTCGTTTGCGGCCTGTGGCTTTATTGATATCATGCCGAAGATAATATTTCTAAGGCCTAGGATCAGAAAAACATGAAGCTGACGTCAAAAATACTTACCGAAAATATAAACACAACCAAAACATACGACATCATAATAAAAAAAATCGATTGACATCTGTTATACAGTCGGCACCAAATTACTTTTACCTATTTGAGAGTTTCCATTATTTGGTGGTGTAACAATGAAGCTAGAATGGCAGACCTATGTATCGAATAATCCTCGAAACGAATAAGAACCTATTACCCCACCCAAATATAATAAACAGAATAAACTATTCACCATCTTGCTTTTAACACAGTTTCAACTGGTCGTAGTGATCCATGTTTTCAAACAATTCTGTGCCACCCATGTAAAAATTGTTTACGCAATCAACTAGTAGCAGCATCATAGATAGTTGCCAAAAAGGGGCCTAATGTACACCACTGCTACAAGATTTGGGGTCACTGATCCCCTTTACCCCACACCCACCCAAACACTTCAAATGCATTTAAGCTTACATGTAGTCCTAGTTTCAATCATCCATCACAGATTTTTGATCTCCATTGTGAAACTGGCTTAGCAACTATATAGCAACACTAATTTTATAATAAAGTAGTATTTGTCTGGCTCTAACACGAACCGAACTTAGCTGTTTTTGATGTTAATATAGGTCTAACCTAGGTAGACACGTATGTACTCGTAGTGTAATGTGTTCCGTCTACTTTACAAAAGAATTTAAGTTGGGTACCATATGACCAAATAACAGCTAAGTAGGTAGGTATGCCAGGTACGTCCCTAAAATTAGAATGAAGGGTCTAAGCAGATATTCACCTGGCTACAAGTTTCTAAGATTGTGGAGTACCTAGTCGGAATACAAATACAGTACTTAGTAGGTACTTACTTACTAGGTACCAAAGTATCTAAAAATTAGGAACTGTCTACCCACTATCCATTCACAAAGTTTTCCATGTCAAACGTCAATGCATTCATCTACATTCCCGAAACGCTGATTGCCGGCTTCATAGTCTGAGTCAATAGAGCTCGAGGCTTCGAACCGCTGTGCGCGCGCACCTGCTACCTAGAGAGAGATAGAGAAAACTCCATTACCAAGGAGCAGCAGCTTAATGTCCTTGGCAGCCTGGATGCCATCTTCCTTGAGGTTCTTCTCGATCTGCTTGCTGCGCGCAATGGCGGCGCGCTCCTCGGCGGACGAGGCGCAGCCCATGGCGATAGCGCGCACGGCCTGGCTCGCTACGCGCGGCAGCGCCGTGCCCCTCGCATGCTCGCGGCCCGTCGTCGCGCGCACGAAGCGCCGCGCACGCGCGAGCGAGCGCACGCGTGCTCTGGGACCAGGGGGACGCGCTCCAGCGCCACGCTACCACCACGAGACGGCCGGTACGGCGTTCCGGCTTTAACCACGCGATACCAAGCGCGACGGAGCTCAGGGAACAAACGGAACGCTAGTAACCGACCGAGGTGGCGCCGCGGCGTGAACCCGCGTACGAATGACGGACCGCGCAGGTCTGGAACGGCGCGCCTAGTGCGCAGGCTCCGCCGCCGCACCGCCTCCGCGCGTCGTCCTCACAACCGCACGGACGCTGCCCGCCCGGTCCCTCCTCCCTCACATACCTACCTACTAGCACCAGTAACACCCTACGTCAAACCTATCAGAACAAGGCGCCCTCAACTTATTAGGCTTAGTACAATAATGGACCGGATGTAGGATCTAAAATTAAGTTAACTTTACAGATCTTGCTAATTACGTACCTACCCACCTATCTTACGCTATAAGGATGCCGCGTTGTACATATTCAACGCACAGCGTTAAAATATTCTTTACATTTTTATGCAAGATAGGTTCGTCATTTAGGTAAATGGAAAAAAGGAAACGACCTCACTAAACTGAAAAGAAAAAACCACATCTATCTATATTGTTGAATTAGGTACCTTGTTTTTGTCGTGACGACGTGATATGTATTTAGGGTGGTTTATCTTGTTTAATTCTTATAAATCGTATTTCAAATGTTCATAACGGGCATCATAACCCATATATTTTATCCACGAGAGACGTAATCGGAATGCGCGTGCGGCGTGTTTTTCTGTAGATAGAAGTATGTAGGTAGCTCTAATAACAAAGGATGTGAAATTATTGCTGTTGCGTGCAGAAAATTGCATTGAAGTCCGATCGAACTAACATTAAAATGAGAAGATACTCACTTCAGTTTATAGGTCTATCAATTAGGTAGACAAAGCCGTTACATACGAAACCCTTTTTTGTAACTGGAGAAAAGTTTCAAAAGGTGCCGACCTAACTTTGGGGAGAGAGACTACAGAGTGTGGGATTTTTTAACCTTGGGGTCATTCATCTTCAGCACTTATGAAGGACCACCGGAGGAGCTCGAACAGACCAGCTCGGAAACCCTTATTAGACCTACAACACCGTTTGGGCACATCCCTATGAACATGTACGTCTATCTTCAGCGAGGATGTGCATGTGACCACTTTCCGGCCGTCTTCTCTTAGAGATTACTGGGTGGAAGGAAAGGTTAGAGTCACTATTCGTAACACGGGTAAAACCCTATTTCTCACACGGGTGTCAAAGCAGAGTAAGGGATAGAGATATAAGAGAATATATTCAACAGAGTTCAGGCAGCAGTGCTCTCCAATAAACTGGATCATTAACTAAAAATCGTGGTGTCCGGCGGAGGGCGCGTTGGGCTAGATGCGCAAGTAGCAACACCGATGCGAACACCAACGCTAGCCAGTAAGTTGCGCGATATCGCCGCCGCACGCTGCTCATGAGGAAGAACCCCTCTGTGGTTCGGAACTAGTAGAGTTTTCTCAGTATATCCACGTTAGTAACCCGCGATTTTTAGTTAATTTAGTATGTCTCACGATAGTTATTAATAATAACTTATTATAAAAACTTGATAATTTTAAATCCTTGGATCTCCAACTCCTCTGCCAGGCGTGAGGATTAAAAAAGAACCTGATCTTTTGCATTTGTAGAACCCCATTGTCCGGCCATTACTTCTACAGGCTGTTGTCTGACTATGATAATTATCAATTTGCTAGATATTAAGGCTGTTGCCTCCTCAATGCCTTTTCTTAGGAGACCCATAAGTACGTATACCTCAATAGGTTCTTAATTTGTAAATCGTGGTAAAGGGTAACCATTTGGCTGCTATCTCGCCTATTTGCATAGCTTAGCTTAGCAAGAGAAATTATCACACACGGCAAGAGGGAACTACAAGTGTGGGTAATGGAATAAAAAAAATCCATGTAATAGAGGGATGTCCGTGTTGCCACATTCTGCTTGCTTTTATACCAAGAATATTAGTCAAGCTGTAAAACCAAATCCATACGTAATACTTTTGTCCGACACCCGTTATTCGACAGCCTTGCTTACGAGCACTCAACCAATGAAACTGCATGTACACTCATTACGTATCAAACACGATGATAAAATAGGGCAAGAAAAGATTTTATTTTGCGTAAAGTCTCAAGAGCATGACAATTATGTTTCTATGCACAACAATATTCAAACTTTTCTGTTTTTCAAGAATACATACATACATACATACATAACATTACGCCTTTTATCCCCGAGGGTGGGTACACATTACAGCACCTAATGCCACTGTACAATGTAGCACCCACTTTTCACTATTCATGTAACAGGGAATGAGCCTATTGCCATATACCGAGCTCATTTCCAGACTCCATGCTAATACTGAGGTTTTTTTTAAAAAAACCCAGTAATACATTGCCCGACCGAGGAATCAAACCCGAGACCCCTTGTCCGGCAGTCGCACTCGGCCAACAAGGCGGGCAGTTCAAGAATCTTATTGGATTTTCTATAACTATTTTCAAAAAAACTTATCAATTAGAACAAAAGATAATTCTATTAAAAATAAATAAGTAAATTACAGAGACAATAATTGAATTAAAGACAATTGAGACAATTATTTAAATGTAGAGGGAG